TCTTACACCAAAAATCCAATGCGCTTGTAGTTTTCTGGCTTTTTATACGCCTTTTCATCTTCCTATACGTTAGATCTCGTTCTATCACGCACTCGGACGTTGAGTTTCAATATATGCAAAATGCTCTCCACACAACACATGACACAGCCTATCAGCACTTTACGCTTGCAATAAAGGCACCATACCATGCTACTCGTTGCTTCAAAAGCTACTTAGATCGTTTTACGTCCTATACGATACTATTAACCGAGTGGCCGTTTCGTCCCGTGGGACCCTAACGCGCTCAGCGGTTTCTCGAAATCTGACAGAGTGCGCGTACTTCTGTTGTAATCGAACGTATGTTGACATTCGGCAGCATATGCCCATAAAGACGTGTGAGTGATTTAGAAGTGGTCACCGTTTGTGCTCGAAAATTTTGAATCGAGGTGGTTCTGGAAAAGGCTACTGTATGCATCAAAGCATATTCACACGCTGCCTTCGGAGCCCACCACTCATCGTTCTTTGCATTTGCCCATTTCCGCTTCTCGCTTCGTTCTCTGAAATGCGCAAAATATTGTCTACGTGCAAACAAAAAAAGCAGGACATATTTACTGAAAAAGCGGCTACGAAAGCGTCGCAGAATTTCACATGTCTCCTCCCCTGGTATACACTACGCAGCAGGCACCTTGAAGCGGCGAAGGGATATGCCTCGAACCGGAAGTACTGTAGCAGACGACGCACCATTTTGCTATCCACCTATTGAACTTTTGAACCACTCCCGCCATTCCCCATAGTAACGTCCGGCGGTTCTTTTTTTTTTCATGAATCAATCAGTAACAAACAAAAAGCCTTTTATTACGCCTCTTGATGCACGGAAGATTTTTTAGTGCACCTAGTTTGATTACTAGTGAATAATTGTACGCGGCACCTCTGACGTAATCGGGACCATTTTGCGAATGTCCTATCATAGCGCATGTGTTCTCGTTCATTTACCTGAATTTCTCGGCAAGTAGGGCACTGCTGTCGATAGATATTATTATCGTTTTATACATTGTCATACATTGAGCTTTCACTCTGACATGAAATGTTAGTTGACTTTAGTGTTCCTTTAAATCCTAATAGCGCACATGACAATGGCGACACGCTAGAAAAACAGGCCGCAATACTTGGGTGCAAGACCGCACACGTGACACTAATTGAAGTGGAACCTAGTCACGTGATCTGAAAGGAAAATCGATTGGCTGTCGCTACCGTCGGGGAGCCGTAATTAGCTGGACGTAATTAAGATTGAGTCTCTAACGAGCACGCCAGGGCAGTGGTTGCGGAGTCTAACTAAATGGTGGTGGTGATAAGGGGAATAGATGGGGAAGTGCAGTGGAACATCAGCTCCAGTCATGAGTGGAGAGCTGAGTCTTTTTGGTATCATTTATCTCGCATTTATGTGTCTTTCCTTGCCCAACAATTGCTTCTTTGGAACTAAATAGTTTTTACCTAATGAATTTCCAGACGAAAGGCAAATGGCGTCTGTTATTCTCGTATTGCTTGTTTGTTAACTGTCCTGCATTTCTAGCCTTCAGCAGCACCCGCAATCTGGCCATGCACTACTTATAGGTCTTCGTTTGATTGTTACCCGGTCATGTCGTTCGGCCATGCCAGCTAAGTTCTGCTTACGCTTATTTGTTTTTCCTTTTTTTTTGCTCTCGTACTATTAGTTGGGCAACGAATATATTATGTTGGAATGGCTGGCTATGACGTAGGCTACCTTTCCATATTCCTAAATTGTAATTTTTTTAACGTTACAAACTTCGATACTTAGTACTGAAGACCGCAGCTCTTATTCATTTTTATTTGTTTAATTATTGATTTATTTATTTATTTATTTATTTATCCTCAACTTGTCAATTCATGAGATCATAATAGCATTAGTTCAGCGTAATAAGGAACGGGAATTGTTAGCGGCTTCCGCATAAACTGAAATTTTCGCATTAATCACACGAAAGCCTCGAATACCTCATCAAACATGAAAATTGACCGACGGCGCTGGTGGTGTCAACACGAGTGACGCGAGAAATCATCACGCGATGACGTCAATAAATGACGCGACCGTGATGTGATGTGTGCCAGATTCCGATGTGAATGATGTAGTATAAGGCGTTGCGAAATCATAACGTCATCAGATAGAATTGTTGCTTTGTCAAATATGGTCCCATCCCACTTACGCCCCCCTTCATTTTTCAATGGTGGAATCAAGTCATACTCATACCCTCATCAGGTTTACCTGTATCTTCATTCTTTAGTGCGCAGGGCGTTGTGGTATAATAGAGTATTGAATATAATGGTTGCTGAGCAGGCACGTAGCCAAAATTTTTTAGGGGAAGGGGGTTCAACTGTATTTAATGCATGTTCGTGTGTTCGTTTGTAAGAGTGCGTGTATATACGCAAGCAAAAGTTAACAGGGAGGCATAGCCAGGGGAGGGGGGGGGGTATTTAGAGTATAACCCCGTGACCCCCCCCCCCCCCCCCGCCATCGCTACACCCCTGCTGGCGAGTACCCCTGCATGTTGCAATGCAAAAGCTGTTTACTTCCCACATTCGCTCCGGCGGAAAATCTGGGTACTAAAGGCAGGCTGTCCTGAGTAGCACGTCGCGGTTTCCTTTTCATTTCTTCCTACAATGCGAAGCATCTTTTTCATTCGGCTTATTGCAGCAACAGGCTTCAACGCGTACTATTACCTACCCACGTCCCAGACACACAAGAGACGAGACTAAGGCACTGAATATAAAGGCGTCTGCAACACAATGCGTTCACTCACGGCATCATATCACACGTTAAGATACCAATGTTACACGGCTGCATCTGACCTCTCTGCGATGTGGCAGACACTGTGGCACGCCTTCTACAGTCATATGCGAAACACTTAAGCATCCCAGCGCTACGGTCAGCAACAAATTCGAAAACGCCCCTCGGTGAAGCGTGGAAGACTGCGATCTCCAAAACCAGCGTCAACGCGTCGCTTGAGCACGGCGGGTGGTCCAGGCCAGAGTGTTCTTGGAATAAGAGACAAGCCCCCTTTCACTCACAAGCCTTTCTGCAAGAAACTTTTTTTTTTCACCTCATCTTTCTTCGTGGTCGCGCACGCTTTCCTTCGTTTTCGAAGATAAACTTCCAGATAGCACTCGTGTCTAACGTGCCTCGATGCGCTCGTTCGCCTTGCTGCACGGATCGAGACTCTCTTACGCAGCGCTTCCAGAATACAATTCGCCGATTTCCTCGCGCAGAACATGAAGTAAACGTTTTGTTCCCTCTCTCCACCCGCAATACTATCGTCTTTCGACGACATTTGCAGTGAAACATGCACATACGGGGCCAAATTTTCCTCTCTCTCTCTCTCCCTGAAACTGCACATCTCCCCTTTTAATAGAGAATCATGCACACGTCCATGTGCGTCAGCATGGCGCATGCGCTGCAGAACGCCGCATGTACTATACCTGTATGATGCATAAAGTCAGTATAACCCTGGGAAGCAACAATGCAGGAAATATATCTCGCAACCTCCCAAATAGGAAAAACATTGTCAAGGCCCACTGAACACGCTCGCCTTTCACGGGAGAGCACATTCGTTATCGTGATGATTGTTCGATGAAGCGGAGCGGCTTCACAGCCATTGCTAGCACCATCGACGCACTGATGCATGTTCACCCTGTATGTGTGCGCATTACGAGCAGGTGGTGCGGCTGAGCTGATCGCATCTGAAATGGAGGCATCATAGTCGCTCTGTCGTGAGCGTGAAGCACCGGCCCGACTGTTGTCTCTGTGTGTGTGAGGGGGGGGGGGGTCACTGTGATACGCGCAGACACGCGTGATACGTGCAACCACTCAGACAGTCGACAATATGAACGGAATGCATCGAATGCTGGCGGCGTGGTTTCAATGAGCTGATTGGCCGAAAAGGAGGGTTGCATTTCTTATAGCTTGTAATGTAAGTACTTGCGCTGTACTTTTCTTATAATTTAGATGCAACGGGTGAAATTGAAAAAAAAAACATGCATAATCTTCGTACCGAGAAGGCCAATTCGTCGCATGATTTTTCCACAAAATGTCGTGTAAAGACGTCAGGTTGTTGACTGTCGGCATAGCGGGTATGACAATGTAAATTTCGCGAAGCATCTGTACAAACCTCAAAGTTTACTTGGAATGCCAAGTCATATCAAAATAAAGCTGCCTTATAAAGCACTCTATCATTGGCTCAAACATTTTTTTCTTTCGTTTAACATGCATTTTGCAGCCTCAGATCATTGTTAAGGCTTCCGGAACAACATGATTAAGCATATGCTTACATCGGTGATGTCTTTCTTGTGCCGCATGAAGGACGACCTCAACTAAACCTGGTAGCATGACTCTACACGTGGACGCCGTTTGTTTCTTTTCTTTTGTCTGCAATTACAACAAAAACGCCTTTTCAGCGTTGTTTCGTGTGTGCCGCGACCAGCCGGTGTAGTTTCCTTTCATGTTAACGGCCTGTGCTATGAGACACACCATTAAACGCCACAGGTTGCCGAGGTCGACGCCACGCAACCATCCACAGAAGCAGTGTCTTGTCAACACCTTGACCTCGAAACTGCTCGTCATAAGCATAAGCGTGTACAGGGTTTCTCTTCAGGTGGAGGGGAGGGGGGCAAATGTTCTTCGCTGATTGATTTGATTTAATAGCTATGTGGAGTTTAATGTCCCAAAGCCACTATATGATTATGAGAGACCCCGTAGTGAAGGTCTCCGGAAATTTCGACCACCTGGAGACAAAGGTTCTTCGCAACACCCCCCTTTATGTCATGCCAATCTATGGGCTGACTCTGCGCCCTTCTATCCCCTCACACCTCCTTCTCTTTATATTGTCAATGTATGAGGCGGCTGGCTTTGCGCCCCCTCTTCCCTTCCCTTGCCCCACCCCCACTTCCCGTGCTTACGCGTATGACCGTAAGCGCACTAAAGCGTTTCTATTCCATTCAACAGGTGATACGACATGATGGGTAGGTGGTCGCCGCTTTTTTTCGTCACGCTGATAACGGTGGAGCGGTGTCACTCCGTGCGCTACTACTACAAATCCACCCAAAAGGAGGACTTCCTCATCGGAGCCCTGTTCCCAATTCACCGTCCTCCCTACACGAACGAGAATGCATCCAGCAGTTGCGGTGGAGTTTGGGAACTACCAGGCATCCAGCGATTCGAGGCCGCACTGCAGGTGCTTATATCCTTCGCAATCAGCATGCGAACACACAGAAATTATCAGAGATAGCAAACGAGAGGGCAATAAATATGCGAACACGCCAAAATTTGCAATTGGGTGAGACAGAGGTGAGTTATTTTCAGAAAAGATGGAAAGACATGGAAAGGCAAAGCGTAACAGGTAATACTCTGCACTGAGGAACATGAAGGGGGAAATTAAAATGACGTGGAGAGATATTTGTGCGTGTGAACGTTCTATTTCAAAGTGAACGCCTCCAAACAAATTGTGTAATGCATGTTGTTTCCTTTACTGGTTTCGGTTTGCTTTATGCTATTTTTTATCCTATTCTGTTCTTTGGTAGTTTTCTTTTTTGCACTGCAGGACTTATAAAAAAAGAGTTGCCGAGGTTATATAAACATCAAAATTTCGTCAGCAAGCCTGTTCGAATAGAACAAAACAGGCGTTATGGTGATTATATGATGATGGTGGTGGTAGTGGTAGTGGTGGTGGTGGTAGTGAGTGTGGAAAGGAACCTGCTGGGACGTTAAAATAGTTTCACACCTATAGGCGAAACATCCTCTAAAACGTTTTCCCCTAAGGGGAAAAAGCTTTCCTTCAAGTATGACACACTCTGCACATTGAAGAACACACGTATCAAAGCACACTACATTGCATGTGAAGTCTGCAAACTTCCTGTATGAGAGCCTACGAACATCACAATGTCACCCTGCGACGTCTGTTCCTTTAATGATCAATAAACATGACAAAGATATCAGCTATACATAGACCCGGTGCCAGGGGTGCCCACGCCTTCCTCCCCCTCCCCGAAAAATATTCCCTACTACGGGCCTGGTTGCACAATAGAACACTTTGTAGAACTTTAGTGACCACCGCTGCAGTTACAGAAGCGCAGGGGGAAGCGCCAACGAGACAAAAACAACTGACGCGGACAAGCGCTGACTGGCGACCCATTTTTTTCATTTACACGAACACTCGAACATATACCCTCAAATTTGGCTCTGATAATCACTTCTCGAAATTCACGTAACACGAATAGGAATGATGTTGGTGTGATCGGTCTGTAAGACCTGAGTAACATGAACATCATAGCATTTTAGAGATTACAACAACAAAACCGATAAACAGCTATAACTGCGCACTCTATTAACTATGGGAAAAAATGTGTTACATCCGTGGCATTCCATACCGAGTAGTCGCCCCACGTATCACAGGCGAGGAATCGGCGCCGAATACCAGCACCCACACCAACTTATATAGACTTCAGACGATATTGCCCGAAAAACACAGCGACAAACGTCTGTTGTGCGACTCCACTCAGACACTCGAACTCAAAACGTGCATTGTGCACACAGCGTCTAGCAGACGCTGTCTCGCCTTTAATTAAGACCTGACTCGTAAATTGGTTGACGGAGGTGCGAATCTCCAAACTGGACTCAGGAAATAAATTGGCGGCTTTTGATTAGGTTCGACAAGTCGCGATAGCCCGTTGTGCCTTAGGTTAAGAGGGCTTTACCTGGAGTAACTGTGGCAGTGAGGAAACCATCGCACACGTGCTTTGTGATTGTCTTCAGCTCCCAAAGACAACTGCTCCTAACAAAGTTAGCCTGCCTCGATGGTCAACCGCTTTCCGTGCAGTTAATTTTGTAGCACTGCAACGTTCGAGCTTCAAAAAAAAAGGGGGGGGGGGGGCGACGAAGGCGCTGCTGAACTTCCTGCGGTCAATCGGCCTCGCTGAATGGCTATGACACTACCATGCTTGAGTGCATGGTGCATGTCCAGTTTTTTTGTGTGTTCGCTTTTACTCCATCCTTAGTGCAGGGTAGCACACGAGTTAATTTTCTACTGGTCAACCTCCCTGCCTTTTACTCAACTTTCCCCCTCTTTCTCTCTCTTGAAGTTATGTTCCTCCATCTCGCTTTATTTCTCAGTTTTTCTCTTTGCTTTCTCTGTTATGCATCGAAAGATTAGACAAGTGATCGTGCTTTTTGTGTCGACCAGACCGTGGACGACATCAACTCGCGCCCTGACCTGCTGCCCAACTCGAGGCTGGGAATCCAGATACGCGACAGCTGCCAGTACGCGGCCATCGCGCTCGAACAAGTGTCGCAGATGATCAAACGATCAGCGTGGTCCACGGTCGAATACCGCGAGGAGCCGCACCCGTACCACCGGCCACCGCCCGACGTGGACAGCATACGGGCCGCCCGGTGCGAAGACACCGCTCCAGAGAAAAACCTGGTCGCTGTCGTGGGTCCGTTACTCGAGGGCGGAGCGCACGACGTGCACAGCTTGATGAGCCTCTTCAAGATCCCCGTGATCAGCTACTCGTTCGACGGCCAACAGCCCGACTCCAGCTCGCTGATGGGGTACTACCTCAGCGTGGCGCCCTCAAATGAGTCGACGCAGGCCCGAGCCATGGCCGACCTAGTGGCCTATTTCAACTGGACATACGTCTCCACAGTCTACACTAACGGTGGGCATGCCCGCGTGGCTGGTGCTGAGTGTCCAGGTTCACTCACAACTGCGACTAGCACCGGTCGCACGGTCATTTTCAAGTGGCGACCACAAGCGGCTTAGGGTGACTGATGTTCACGCCTGAGTTGCGACCTGTACCCGTCGCCGCACATAACTGCCGTCTGTACGCATTGCCACTGCTCCGTAAATTAAGCTGACGTCCTGTTGCTACGCATCTTGAATAGTTCAGAGGTGTGCAACTGCAGTTGCGCGACCAAAACATTGAGCAGCGAGCGATTTAATCAAAGTAGTCGCCTTGAGACCAAAGCGTTCATTGTCAACCAGTCGCTTTAAAGCTAACCTGGGGTTGAGACGGGTTCTAACCGCAGGTGTGAACGAGCCTTTCGGTGGGTTCATAGAAAATGCACAGGAAGGAGTACCGTGTGTAGGCATTAAGTTGTCGAGAAAAGAAGTGGTAATTTTAGAGGTGTTTCAATTAAGGCTAGTTGGTATGACGCACTTTAGGACAAGGATGCACTGCGAGGAAGCTCACAGACGAATTACCACAAGTACAATTGGTATGATTGATTTGTGGGGTGTAACGTCCCAAAATCACCATATGATTATGAGAGACGCCGTAGTGGAAGGCTTCGGAAATTTCGACCACCTGGGGTTTACCACAAGGACAAGAAAGCGCAAGCTGTCACCAGGCATTTCAATGCATTGGGGTTTAAACTTCACCAGAAATATGTAACAAAAGGACTAACCACAGCAGGGGCCTCTTTGCTACTTCGTATCCGCACGGTGTTAGCGCATACAGCAGTATGTATCTACAAGATCAAACTTACCGCGACACCATTGTGTCCTACTTGCAAGACATAAGGTGTCATTGAACATTGTGTGCTTAAGTTTAATGAACTTGAGAAAGGTGAGCTTTTTTTATTGAAGCATTCCCACGTTTAGGCTGGCCTCACCACATAGTGAACAATATGGTGTTTCCGTGTGCACGCCGGTCATTCAGGAAAGAGATATCGCAACTACTCTTTAAGTAAGCTTTACAGACCACGCATTCGGCTGGTGCTTAACTACCTCTGCAGTTAGTAAGCTCTAATTATAAGTCAGTAAACCTCGTATGCGATTGGTGACGTGTGAAATACTTAGGTTTGGTGTGGTGGTGCAGGGGGCCTGTTGCAGCACCGCACGCGAGATTGCTCATGGACCACCGGCGCAAGCTTTGTTGCTTCAGGCTGAGCTCGTCTTCGTAACCTGCCCCCATTTCGTTTTTTTTTGTTTCTTTTAAGTTATCGCGTTTTCAAGTTAACTTGACAGGAGGAAATACGACGAAGCAATTGCCAGCATGTATCGCATTGTCCATAACCTACAACACCCTCACTCTCCTCCGTTTCGTGTTCTTTCGTTCATTCGTCTTCGTGTGACGATGCAGCGCAATATTGCCCTTAAAGGAGGCCCGCAGTACTAATTCAGAATGGTAAAAAAAAAAACGCTGCCGCTCGGTAGTCGAGGCTCCAGGGAACATGCGAGCCAAACATTACTAACGATGACGTTTGGCTCGCGAGCTCCCGCATGCGGCCTCGAATTTAGGATGATCATTTCTCAAAGCCAGCCAAAAATCGTTCTCTTCTCTCCCTACAAGTGATGACTCATAAACACATTACCTAGCCTAGAACTCGAATCAGTCACGGCCATTGGCTGATCTGATCATCGCTAGCTGCATAGATACCGAGGCCACCACGAGAAGCTGCCACGTGCCCGTGGGCGCTGGCGATCACACTGTGAAAGTATAAGCTGCGCGTTCAGCCGAAGAAAAGGTGTTCGAGGTTCTGAGAGCTTCTTTTTCAAGAGCCATCTCCCCTTTGCTTGGCTTCAGCGCCCTCTGTCGGGGCGTCGAGAAAGAGATAAAGCGTTTACGGCATGCGACGAATATCTCTAACTTCACTCGTACATTACGGATTCTAAAACTTTTTTTGCGTTGTTCGATTCGTGATGCAATAAACTCTTTGAATGAAGCCGCTATATGGTTACTCGGAATGTTGTTGCAAGGCACCTTTTAATGAGGAGCGACGCCGCTGAAAGGAGTTGCGATGAAGACAACGGGACTTTATCACAGGAATGCGGATGTACGTACCTCTCAATAAAAGACCGATGATTCCAATCTAACGCAAGTTTTATGGGCCAGTAACGTTAAAGACCAATGAATGACCAATCGCCTAATCGCAAATGCACGTGCTTCTTACGTTGGCGCGCGAGAAAACCTAAAACCTAAGAGTAACACGAGATTTCGATTGTATACACTATAGTACTGATTGCTGTGATATATACATCAGCGCGTGGAACAAGTGCAGTGTGACATCATTAAGTGGGGACAGCAGTTATCAGCGCAAGAACGTCATGACAGTGTCCGCCCATTCGTGTCGATTTCGAGTGCCTATCATACAACATAAGTAACTGCTCAGATTCTGCTGAGGACCAAACCAGCGCGTGCGATTCTTAAGTATCGTTTTATGTTATCTTGTAAAGCTACATTTAGATTCCTACTCGAGTAATACAAGAATTGGGTCATGGTCCTTTGACTCGCACATATTTCACCTACGTACGTAGACGCCGCAAACGAAGCCACTTTGACAGAGTTCATGAGGGTGTCTAAGGACAGGGGCGTATGCATCGCCCGATTCTTGGCGCTGAGCCCCCAGGCGACCAAGGCAGAGTACTACGAGGCGATTGCCAACCTGCAGAGCGACGAGAACAGCCGAGTGATCGTGTGTTTCTGCGCCTCCGTCACCATCGTCCGGCTGCTCACCGCCATTCGTAACACGAACATCACAGGACGTTTCACTCTCGTCGTGAGGTGAGTGTGGTGCGCGTGCTCTGTGTTTAGTTTTGTTTATTATTATTATTATTATTATTATTATACTTTATTATTATTATTATTATTATTATTATTATTATTATTATTATTATTATTATTATTATTATTATTATTATTATTATATTATTATTATTATATTATTATTATTATATTATTATTATTATTATTATTATTATTATTATTATTATTATTATTCGCTCTCTCAAAGTCCCCTACTTTGAGTAGCACTTAAGTGGGTGCATATTCAGAATTTACGAAGATCGGTTACCGTGAGAAGGAATAAACGTGCATGAACGATGATTCAATGAGTGCGAAAACATATGAACGAAGAAAAGGAATAGCGTACACATGGTCAGTCGGGTATCACTCGTACAAAATTGCATAACTGAGTTATGTTGCACAGCATACTCATGGTAGAACAAAATAATATTGAAGAATACTTAGCACGAGCAAGGTAAAAAATGGCGCATTATTATAACGAGCCATGACAAAGCTAACTTGCAGTTAACGCTATGAGCTCATTGGTGTAGCGAACATAATAAATCACAGCATTTTGAATGGTCATGTGCAAGGGCGATCGATTCGGGTCGTTTATTTTGGTGTACTATAATTATAGATTAAAAAGTCGTTAAAGGCGTTAGTAGTATACTGTAAGCACGCCGAACGCTCCAAGAGTTGAAAAAGTGACGAGAAGTGTCAACCGGTGGCAGGAGCTTGTTTCAGTGTGTGCGTGCGTGTGTTGCCCTCGACACTCACATTCGACTTGAGAAACTGAATGATGGTTGATATCTGGGGTTTAACGTCCCAAAGAGAAACTCTATGTTCCGCACCTGACTTCTACAAAAGTCAATCTCCTATAATGACGTCGTTTAGCTGCGCCAAGTCGAGACAAATTTGTTCTTCGATAAAACGGATGTTGTTTTGGTGCAGCACGCAGAGAAAGTGGTTTGATTCTATGTTCCTTTGTGACTTCAGTTATGAAGTCATGTTCTAATTGTTGTGTTACAGTACAAATGTCAATAAATCTGAACAAGTATGGCTCGAGAATTGATATACCATGCTCACTCGTGCGACAATGCATTAGTGCGCGGTCACTTTCACACTGACTAGTAGCCTCAATTAGTGAAGCAGCAACATTTGAGTTTTCTTGGCGCTCAGCCGCGCATTTCACGTGGCGTTGGCAAAATGCTTCTGCGGTTAGGCTGTAGTATTCAATTGTACATGCTTTGTACAAACGAATAAATGCAGAACTACCACTCCACATACAGAATATGCCAATAGCGTCATCCGATGATGATGATATGTGGGGTTTAACGTCCCAAAACCACTATATACGATTATGAGAGACGCCGTAGTGGAGGGATCCGGAAATTTCGACCACCTGAGGTTCTTTACCGTGCACCCAAATATGAACACACAGGCCTACAACATTTCTATCTCCATCGCAAATGCAGCCGCCACAGCCTAGATTCAATCCCGCAGTCGAGTACCTTATCCACAAGACCACCGCGATGGGGCGATATGGCGTCATCCGAGACCGCCATTCCTAGTCACTGATTGTTCATTGTTCAAGTCTTCCGTCTCATGACACGGTGCTACTTCGAGCTCAGCTAAGCTTATTAAAATAAAAAGCTTGGAACACTTACGGTGACCCAGATAGCGACGTAATTCACTTTTCAACGAATCGGACAACTGAACAAAAATGATTGCTTGTCTTCCTTCAACAACCCATCGGCACGCAGTGCGTTAGCTTCGAACCTCCTGATGTAAGATGCAACGTGCGACTGCGACGCATATACCTCTAAGATGCGCCACACGGCTATTCTCAGTGAATCGTGGATGGCAGACAAGGAACTACTTGCCGGCCTCGAAGAGCAAGCCGCCGGTGTTCTGTCTTTCCGCAATCACGTCGAGCCTGACGAAGAGTTCGAGGTTTACTACACGAGCCTGAATCCCAGGAACAACGTCAGGAACCCGTGGTTTCGGGAGTTCTGGGAGTCGCACTTCCAGTGTTCACTTGACAGCGAAGGTGAAACTGCCGACCACTATGAGCGGAAGTGCACAGGTGAGGAAGAACGATCTTTTAGCGAACAATGAAGTAAACGTGTGACGCCACAATGACGTCACATAACACGATGACGTCGCAAATTTCGACAACCTCTGACGTCGTGATGATGTCATAGGGTGACGTCATTACATGGTTGTTTTTTTTCATCACACGTGTTCATGGCGACGGTCACGTTTCACTTTTGATGAGACGTTGAAAGCTTTCGTCTTAATAGATATATGATTTCGTGCGAGCACTGATGCCTCGCCCTCGGCTTTCCACTTTGAAAGCAAAAAAGAAAAATCAACTAATGCTATATTTAGGGGAAGTAGTAAAAGTTGCATTTCCGAACACGTTACCCCCCCCCCCCCCCCTCATACTTATATCACTTGTACCTATATCGTGAAGTTACCGGAAGCCATTTATTTCACAAAACACACACCGCGTGCTTGCACTGACGTAGCCGCCATGCGGCATAATGTATGTGTATTCTTCCTGGTTATGAATGGAGTAACGAAAACAAGACAGTGCGATGTCACCTCGATAAATAAAACTAATAAACTGTGGGGATTTATAGCCTTCACTTTTAAAAGTTGAACGTGATAGCGATAGGTCTCTATAGCGTGTTCTGTGAAATAGGTTGCATGCTCGCGAGTAATTATGAGCGTGAAATGTTTCCGAAATACTTCCGAACTTGCTAAGCACCTTCTACAAGGGTATACATGCCGGAACATCTGCGCCACTTGTGGTGGGTAGCCAGCTTTGAACCACGAGGTAGTCATAATCACCTGTTCTGACAGCCTTTTTTTTTTTTTTTTCCGAGGACAGCCCATGGCTGGAGTTGTCTCCCGAATGAAATTGTACTGTCGTTGCCGACTTCCTTTGATGAATCCCTCGCAGAATGTTTGTTTAACTAGGTTTTACATGACATATGTGGGATATTTTGAGCTTTATCTCACCATTTACAGCTTCTGTCAAGTTGTGTTTTCTACTCTGTCTTTCTTATGAGGTTATGTATCTATAAAGTTAATTTATGTTTAAATGTTTACTTTAATATTAAGTTTTGTTGCTTTTTCGTGTTGTACAACCTGTATAAACCTCTTAGTAACGTGATGTTTAGTCTTTTTATAATGTTATTTATGTTTAGAGTGCTGATGTTATCTTTATTCTTACCTAATGTTTGTTACTTTTCATGTTGTATATACTACCTGTATCTTTTCCTGTTTGTTTCCCTCTACAATGATGCCCAGTTGGGTGCTGTAGGTATCTGAATAAAGAAAAACATGGCAATGTACGCTTGTACCACGCATTATTACTGCAATATTAGATGTTGTATTGTGAAGTACGTATACAGGACACGTGTGTTTGTAAAGCATAAAAGTTACTTTCACTGCATTTCCAAGCAGAGGAAGTTATTTTCACTGTATTCTCAAGCAGACGCGTGGCTGTATGGTAGAATACGTCCTTGCCACGCGAAGGGCCCTGGTTTCATTTTCACACGGACGAGGAAATTTTCTGCAGCTTGACTTTTCGGTCATGCACAAGGTGATGATTTTTCGCTCACAACCAACGATGCCGATGCCGAGATTTATGCGAAACGAGCTCTTTAACGATGTCGCGTGAAAATCTAACATTTAACAATTATAGGCCGGGAAGCTTCAGAAATCGTCTTTCGCAGGTGATGAGTCACTGAGTGAAGGCTACGAGCAAGACCCGCAAATCGACGGCGTCAAAAGCGCCATCTACTTGATCGCCCGTGCGCTGCACAATATGCTGGATGACTACTGCCAAACGAGTGTCGACAAGAATTGCTATCGGCGCGTCCACGTCGGTGGTGACAAGTTCTTCGATTACCTCTTCGAAGCGACCCCAGTGTACCAGCAAAGCATACCTGAGCTCAATAAGAAGCGTAGCACGATTCCGTGGTAAGTATCCATTGCTGTACGTCTAGATAATGACAGCGTTGGTTTTGAACATTTGGTCAAAGGACATCACCGGGCAAAAAAAAAATTGTCAACTGTGCCAGTTGATATGGATCTATGGTAGTAAGGTCCCCTTGTTAGAAATGATCCAACAAAAGTCCGAACAGTCCGTACTGATGATTAAGCAATGAAACTATTTCCCTCACATTGGGAGGAGAAGAAAGTGCGATCGTCGATAAGCGTCCACGAAGAGAAGTTTCTATAGATTCACGGTTGATAACGGCGAGGGAAATAGTGTCGCCATTGAGGGCGTTGTCCAAGTAAATGGTAGATTCACTGTTTGGGGCGTCGGTTTCGGTTTCGCCAGCTAAATTGGCCAGAACTCTCGATTTCGTGGTAATAAACAGTGGCCGCATTTCCGAAATTTCAAAGCAGCTGTCGACTATTTGTAGCTTGATTTATTGATTTGTGTAGTTTAACGTCCCAAAACCACCATATGATTATGAGAGACGCCGTAGTGGAAAGCTCCGGCAATTTCAACCACCTGGGGTTCTTTAACGTGCACCCAAATCTGAGCACACGGGCCTACAGCGTTTCCGCCTCCATTGGAAATGCAGCGGCCGCAGCCGAGATTCCATCCCGTGACCTGCGGGTCAGCAGACGAGTATTTTAGTCACTAGACCACCATGGTGGGGCATTGGACTCGATTGGCTATTTCCAGTGGTTGAAGTTAATTGTCTAAACTTCTGTGATTACTGCCGTAATTAATGTTTTTACACCTCTGAAGATGCCTTTTGGCAAAGTAAAGAGAACACCGCAGGTATACTGCACAGAAGCCTCCTTTTTCAGTATAATGATATAGCAAGTATGTGGGGAAGGTCACCAGTTCTGCTGTTTCCTCAGTCTTCGCACCACTAGCGCGTAGCTACCTCTAATTATTTTCCTTTTTCTAAAGGTACGACGTGGTTAACTTTATCAAAGCCGATGACGGCGATTACGATATCGAGACTGTGGGGACCTGGTCCAACGATCAACTCAAGGTGTTCAAGACACCCCAATGGAGCTCGCAGGGCAACACCGAGGTGCCCACATCCGAATGCGGAAAGCCGTGCCCCATTGGACACGTCAAGGTATATGAATTCCCAGTTCCACGCGCAATCATGCGCACACTCTCATCCCAGGGTAGCCAGCCGAACTGATATCCGGCTAACCACCCCATTCTCTCTATTCCCTCTTTCCTCCCTTCTTTCCTTCCTGGTGATTGACCAATGATTTTCGTGTTTTGATTTCTCTGTCGCGTTTAATGATTCAGTACAGAGGCAGTATAAGCATTGGTCATTACTGGTAACTGATTGGACTCCAAGAACAAACGAATGTGTGAGGGGGAGACAGCAAATTAGTAATTTCTGGGTGGGCAGATGTGATTAAGAACTTCGCGGGTATAACGCGGCAGCAAAAGCACAGGACCAGGTTCATTGGCCGAACATGGGAGAGGCCTTTGGCCTGCGGTGGGCGTACTCAGGTTGTTATGGATGATGATGATTATGACGATGATGATGATGATTAATGCTTTTATCTTAACCAACTTCAACTATATGCCCAATATCACGTCATCTGAACGGATCAATCCTGTCCGCATATGGTTGCAGGCGAGGATTGCCGGTACTGCTTTGTACAAGCTATCCGATGCAATGTTAAATCGACGCAACATATCGTAATGTAGCCGGTACTCTAGAACCGTATAATGTATAGTTGAATGCAGGGAATTTCGACAAGAAACAAGTACGAGCTTCAATGCAATTCTTGCTTCTTCGTTACGGTCACTATGCCTTGTCATTGAGGTACACAACGATATAACGTAGAATAAGTTTGTCGTTCTAAATGTCACAGAAGAACAAATGCATAGAGGAGTTCCGTTAACTTATTCCACACTAGCTAAATAACCGTTTCTCTATATGTATTTTTACGTTGGTGGTGGAAGTGGTGTAGACCTGTCTCGCAATCACTTTCGGTTCCTCAATCGTGTTCTACAAAAGTGCAAAGGCAAACGAAAAATGAACAGCACATCCTTGCGCGCTATGCGCATGTCCTTCAACGCACTCGTAGAAAACCCTCTTTTCATCATGCTTCAGAATCGTGTGGCTTTCTGGACACTGGTTGTTGCTGGAGCACATGAAGTACACTACACTGTCTATCTCAGAGAGAGACAGAGAGAGAAAGAAAAAGAAAGGAAAGGCAGGGAGGTTGACCAAGCTTGGCTCGGTTGGCTACCCTACACTTGGGGTGGGGCAAAGGGAGAATAATAGAAGGAAAAGAGATAGGAAAGAAGAGGAGTAAGAGAGAGATAAATGAATAGTCAGCTCGAGACTACACAGCACGGTCTCACACTGTTCTTTCTCAGGGGCTCGTGAAGTCTTCTGGTCCTTAAAAAGTACAAGAGGGCTTTCGGGGCTTTGCGCGTATGGGAAGCCGTCGGCCAAGGTCCCAGGATCTTCTTTTCTATCTCAGAGCATCCAGTGCACGATGTGGACCCAGCAGCACCGGCTGATTCTCCTCTTTGATTTCCAAACGCCAGGGGTCCTCTGCGCTAAATTAAATCTCTAAGTCCTCTGTTATATTGAGCCGATGCCTCTCACATCGACTGGAAATTGATCACGAATTCGAAAGGGTGTATAACGCGACACAATCTAACATGCTGGTAATGCCTTTTGCACAGGTACACCAGTCGATCACAAAGCCGTGTTGCTGGAAGTGTGTCCAGTGTGCCGACAACCAGTACGTGCAGGGCGATTACCTTTGTTCTCAATGCAAGCAAGGAACGTGGCCGAATGAGAACATGGACGGTGAGTTGACCCTTAATTACGCATACAGTGTTACATACATGCAGCCATTTAGTCCTTATTTGAAAATAATATAATTAACACATTCTCAAAGATAAAACTGTCTTGCCAACTTGGCAGGCCTTTCTTAACCACTGAAGCTCGTCGAAAAAGCAGCGTCCCGTGTAACCTGGTGTGTATGTTAATTTCATATGGCAGCTAACAAAATTTGAGCCGCATTCTCCAATGGGAGACTGTCCTAGTGTGTGTGAAACACTGCATCTTGGTGCTGGCCCCCTGTCTTGGTGACTGCTGTGCAATCAGTGTAAATGCACGCGCATATAGTCACGCCTTGCTCATGTCATTTTACGTAACAACTTTGTGGCTATAATACTTCGTACGTAATATATGTTTATTCTATAGGCACTATTTTCCCAGCTTCGACTCAAGAAATGGTTTTGTTAGATAAGCTTAAAGCATGTTTCCGAAGCCGCAATTTTCATTCCGTAGAATGCATCACACAAACGGGCTATGGACAGGCATTTCTTGAGTGAATTGGACACATGATGGAGCAACGTAACTCTCAGTTACACGACCTTGTGGGAAGTTCCCGAAGATTGGCTTTGGCTCGTCAATTATCAGGCTTATTGCAACTTGAAATAGCTACACAAAATCGCATTTAATACTTACTTTCTTTTTTATTTTTTAAACAGCCTCCGTCAATAAGCATGAGCTATACTCATACTGCCCTATAAGCAACGTTTTCAGATATTCAAAAAACGTAGCATATGAGTGATTGTTAAATGTAGCACGATTCCACAAAAATTCCATAAATGGAATCTGAAGGGGAAAATCTATAATGGCATCTAATTTTCATGGTCATTGTTAAATTCAACCGCTATATCTCCGTATATTACGCGATTTCTCTCCGAAACGTGGTGCTCTTGAATCGCCTGGCGCCATACTTGGTGTCATTTAGGCGTCAGACTTGACGTCACCCTTTGACTACGTATGACGTCACACAGCCTGCAAAAGCCTTCCGAAGAACATCGCGCGGACCCTCTAGACGATAGTTATAGCGCGAGAACAAAACGGCGACACAGAGACAAGAAGGACACGAAAGACAAGTCCTTCTTGTCTCTGTGTCGTCGTTTTGTTCTCGCGCTATAACTATCGTCGTGCCATACCAACTAGCCCAAGCTGCCACACTTCTGACCCTCTAGAGTTGCATGCCGAAGGGTTCGTGTTTCGTATTACACTGTCTTCGCAGGTTGTGAGCGGATTCCCCAGAAGTACGCGCAGTGGACCGAAGCCGGTTCCATACTGACCATCGTAATCTCCGCCCTGTCCATCACGAACACCGTCTGCACGACGGCCGTCTTCATCCGGTACGCCCTGTCACCCATCGTGAAGATGACGTCCCGAGAGCTGTCGTTCGTCTTGCTGGCGGGTGTCCTGCTCAGCGAGGCTGGTACCTTCGCCGTCGTCTCCAAGCCTTCAGTGGCGTCCTGCCTGCTCGAGCGGCTCTGTCCCGTGCTGGGAGTGGCCACGGTGTACGCCGCCATCTTCGCCAAGGCGTACTTGCTGTGCCGCGTCCTGGCGGCGACCAAGAGTCCAGGCTTCCCTGCCGCCGTAAATGCAGCCCGGGTCGTGAGCACTCGGTCGTTGTTGCTGATCGCGGGAGGCCTGGTCGCCGTGCAGTTCTTTATAACGGCCGCTATGCTCATCTTTGATAAACCGGGAACGGTGCAGGTAAGGGTGTCCAAATGCGCATTAGCGTGTTTCTGACCTGAACAGTCATACATAAAGTGAGCACCTTATGTATTCAGGACCTCAATAAAGCTCATTTCAATGCATGATCCTGATAATTACAATTACGCTTAACCATGCCAGATTTCGACGTCATATAACTGCCATTTCCCTCATAAGCTAGAAAAGACGTTTAAGGTTAACCACCTTGAATTCTTTTGAAGTGTTCCTCTTAGATGTAGCTGACTGTGCGCAGGTTATGTCTGCGGTGGCATTTTGTTTAAAAGTGCTTCCTAATGCAAATACAAATGCGCTTCCCTGAGGAAGCTATGAAGGCAAACATGACAAATGCTTATGAGCAATGATGTATTACCATTGTTCTTTTATTCGTGTACTTAATTACAAAAATTATCTATTCAAAGAAAAAAGTATATTTCAGCACAAAGTAGACGCAATGAGTGTAATAGCAATAACTTGGAATGTTATGCGAAGGCTAAAACCTCACTCCTCTAAGAACAGGGGCCGATGCAGCGAACGAAGTGACGTTCGGTTTGCCTATGGCTTCAACACAAATTTTGCGATGAGAGCATGACACGTACAAAGCAGTGAGCCGTCTACTGAACTCTTCAAATATATACGGGTGCGACTAAGATGAGCACGCCCGGGTGAAGCTATGTACGCATATCCTAAGGAGGCCCACAGCCCCCAACATTACTCGTGTCTTCATGTGCATTTAGTGCGACGGAAGAGGGCCGGTGCATTTCGTCTCTGCTTGAGCAGTGATCGTCAGCAGCGCTCTCTTGCACAAAAAAGAAACATAGGATCTTTTTACGGAACGTAACGCTGACGCCGACAGCAAGCATGCTCGTGCCGGGTCCGTAATAATGACAATAAAGATGTGTGCCATTTGCGAGCGAGAGACAAAAGGAGGAGAAGAAGAAAATTAGGATCCGGAGCCAGCCCTTATGAAGTAAGGACGTATTGCAGAGCTACGACCGTAGGTCCTCGTCCTTACATTTGGTGCCGAAACCCGGGAGTGGTCGTTCCGGGACTCGCATGTCGTCAGCCAAGCTTCTCCGAATGGTGCGTGGGACTGTCAGGGCCAGCGCGTACGAAATATTACCCTCCTGACAGGACCACTGCAGCACTCCGACACCAAGGTACGCGAGGTCAATAAGTAATTTGTTGTTTCGATGAGTAGAGAAGCTGAGCTCCGCCAGTTGGGCAAGCAGATCCCCGGCATAACTGAAGAAGAAGCAGTTGACCAGGACCTCGAGGGTTCTCCGCACTACCATGAGAAAATCGTGCATGCAATAGCTGTGGGGCAGTATTTTCTGTCAGAACGCAAGCAGTTTGCTCATATAAGTGACACGAGATATTTTATGTTTTCTTACGTCAGAAAAGACAGTAAAAACTACAACCGAGCTGGTTTGTACAGAATAGTCAACGACTGTTTATTGATTAATATGTGGGTTCCAACGTCCCAAAATCAATATATGATTATGAGAGGCGCCGTAGTGGAGGGCTCCAAAAATTTCGACCACCTGGGCTTCTTAAACGTGCACCCAAATCTGAGCACATGGGCCGACATCATTTCCGCCTCCATCGGAAATGCAGCTGCCGCAGCCGGGATTCTAACCCGCGACATGCGGGTCAGCAGCCGAGTACCTTAACCACTAGACCACCATGGTGGGGTAGTCAACGACTGTCACAGCATATCTGAAAGCATGGAAAAGGATATTACAAGTTGCGAAGACTCATCATTCAAGCCCGAAAGCGTATTGCCTGCGAGTCCAGAAAAAGATGTAAACATTTCGATAGAAGTAAACAGCAATAACGCCAAATCGATCGTGATGGTGAAACTACCAAAGCAGGATCCAGTGAGCGAGGTCTTGTTAGGTAGTTACCAAGCGACAATGGCGTGCTCGGAAGATTCTCCAGAGCAACGATGTTAGGCTGTTAATTCTACAAGAGATGAACAACTATTTGAGTATGGAGGAAGTATTCTGAAGTACAATGAAGATCCTAGGGAGGAAGATCAAGAGATTGCCAATCTTGAAAGGGCAGCAGCAAGTCAAAGAAATGGTAAAAGCTGTGGCATGTACGATAATGTTGATGAGGATAAACCCATTGGCCAACCGATGAGTGCCGAAGAACCTGCCGACAGCTTACCAATCATCAACAATGACCAGTTCAATCCGGTGGTTGGTGGAACGTTCAGTCCTACCATGTTTCCTGTCGTGTACTTGTCATTGGATACACAGGCTGGACGTAAAGACTTTGTCTCAGCTTCGAGAAACTAAACATTGGCGTGACCAAGCAAGTGGATGGATACCTAGGAAATCAGGTGAGAGCGCTCTTTTCGCCTCTGGAAGCGAAGTGCGGCACCCTGTGGATTCTGCTGAAGCAAATGCACCATTTCGCGAAACAACTGTGCGAGTACGTCAAGGAGCATATTCTCATAGAGCAGAGGAAGATCCAGGCCCAGGGACTCGCTGCTGATGTGATCAACCAAGCGAACGAAGCGTCCGAATTGCCCCCAATTTCGGGGTGTCAAACAGCTCATGCCACAGGAACCAAAGTCACTGCAGATCCCAAGGCACTCCGTGCAGAACACTACACCAGTATGCTGTGGCAGAGTCGACGGGTGAACCTGAATGCTGAGCACACCAGCAGTGTCGTTCTGACGTAAAAACGGCGGGGATGGCGACGCGTGCACCATTTCTCTGCCAGATTGGTACGCTAATAATAATAATAATTGTTGGGGCCTAACGTCCTATAACCACTATGTGATTATGAAAGACGGCATAGTGGAGGGCTCCAGGAATTTCGACCACCTGACGTTCTTTAACGTGCACCTGAATCTAAGGACACGGACCTCAAGTATTTTCGCCTCCATCGAACATGTGGTTGCCGGCCGGGATTTGATCCCTCGACCTTCGGGACAGCAGCCGAGTGCCTTAGCCACAAGTAGATCACCATGCTGCTTCCCGGACCAGGCTACAATGGAGATTCATGTTGGAGTCACTACAATGGTGCCAGTAAACCCTCTGCGTGTGAAATCGCTACATTCAGGATGAGCTGCAATGGACATACGTTGTTTCGTGCGTATTAATCTGACTCATTTCTGAAGCCTTGTACATAGGTTGTGCACGTTAGAAGAAACGAAGTGTCTTGTGTCATATTCACGCCGATCCCTCGGAGGATGTCGAAAATAAAGAAGTGGGGCATGGGCTTCGGAGCAGGAGCGAGAGGCGAAAAGATGAGAACGAGGTGGAGATTTAGAGCCAGCCGTAATGAAGTGAGGAGATGTGACAGGGCTACGACAACGGGTCCTCGTTTTAACACATATATACTATCGGAATAAACAGAACAAGAAAAATAACTGAAAGTGCACTCCAGTTCACTGATTAAAAATGTTAACAAAGCTTTAACTAATCCCACAGTGTAATCATTACATTTCAGTACTAATGGGCATTTATTTATTTATTTATTTATTTATTTATTTATTTATTTATTTATTTATTTATTTATTTATTTATTTATTTATTATTTATTTATTTATTTATTTATTTATTTATTTATTTATTAGGGGCGAAGCTCCTTAAGACCTCACGATGTCCGCCGTCTCCCGTCTGTCCGTAACACGTCTTCATCTGTCTGATAGTTATGAACCATTTTCCATACAACCTTCAACTTATAAGCAACAGGGGGCGTTGGTGGTAACCGTTTTGCATGTAACCTTCAACTTATAAGCAACAGAGGGCGCTGTAGTTAATTGTAGGTGTCGAACTGCTGAACACTTGATACCGAACACTTGATAATGTTCTGTAAAGGGCGTCACCCTATAGTTCAGGATGATGGCGCAGAGTTTTTCAAAGCACTGGGGTTTAGGGACCGGGAGGGCAAAATAAACTTTAAGTGGGTAGACTTAACTAGAAGGAGGTTATCTGATTGGTGGCTAAAGTCAAGGCACGAGTGAAAATTAAACTCTTCACTGCAAAGTACGAATCCTGAAGCTCACTTTTCAAGGGGAAAAAAATAAATATAGTTTTTGGTTCATTAGGTATTACGGCTTGGTGGCGCTAGCCACCGCCCGATCTAAAGGGTACAGCCATATCCATCCATCCATCCATCCGATGTGATGGCACTGCTGTCAACGCTATATATATATAACAACGATCCATACCACACATTCTGTTATCTCATATGGACGAAGACGAACGCAGGAAAGCGCGACGTGCTGAGTATCCGCGTCGCCGTCGACGGGAAGCTACCACGGAGACAAAAGAGAAGGAACCGGATGCAAAGCGGCGACGGCGACCACGAAGTTCTACACCACAGACTAGGGCTAAGGAAGCAAAGGCTAAGCGGGAAAAACGCCAAGCTGACGCGCAGTTGAGACAACTTGAATCGGATGCAAGGCGGCCATACCGACAAGAAACTTCTACACCAGAGACGATAGCTAATGAAGCTGCGATTATGAAGTCAAAACGTAACTCGGAACCTCATATCAGCTATAATGAAGAATCACCGCTATATCACAATCGGTCTCAGCACTATCTCTTTGAATAAAAAAAATACGTAAGTATCACAACCAGAATCAGTCTCAGCACTATCTCAACTTTAATCGCAATAATCACCTCCGAAAGCTTCGCCCCATAATTATCTTCAAGCAGCTTGAAATGCAGTGATTTTTATTTATTTATTTATTATCTACTTAACGTGATTATTGATTGGTCTCTCTATCATTGGCTCAATTGAACAACCAATATTCATGAACAGTGGTGAATATGCCATAGACGTATCTATCAATTGTTCTATTATTGGGTACAGCTCCTAATCCCGTTTCCTTATCTCTTCAGATGTGCTAACGACACAAAAGTTCTAGCTTTTAAAAGTGAGCCGTTTTAACGTCGCTACATCCAAACTTGTGAATTTAAGAGTGCTTTTTCGCGTATTCTTGCATTGCGGTCATTGCACTTGTCACCCACGCTTCAACACCGCAGGTCTACCCGGCACCTAATCGCTCCTTCCTGATATGCAACGTGAGTGACCTCGCAAGTCATCTGCCGTGGGTGTACAACTACCTACTCATTGTTCTGTGCACGGCGTTCGCCTTCAGGGCCAGGAAGCTTCAAACCACCTTCAACGAGGCCAAGATGATCGGGTTCGCGATGTACGCTACCGTTGTGATTTGGATTGCTTACGTGGCCGTCTACGTCGGGAGCGAGAACAACCGAAAGCTGTCCCTCTGTCTCGCCATAAGCGCATCTTCTCAAGTGCTGCTGGGGCTTCTCTTCCTCACCAAGATATACGCCATGCTTTCCGAGCCCGTGAAACACGCCTGCTGCTTCGTGTTCGGCACTCGACCAGCTCTTACTAGCCAGGTCTCTGTAGTCGAGGATCTCGGACACGAGGGACCCCAGAGCTCCAGCGGGTCGCTCGAAAGCTTGGCTCAAAATAAAACAAAGTGACCCCTGTTTTTGTCTTACGTCAGTGCAATACATGTATATAATGTTCGTTCGGTGAGTGAGTGAGTGAGTGAGTGAGTGAGTGATTGAGTGAGTGAGTGAGTGAGTGAGTGTCCCTATAAAAGTTATGAGGAAAATTTTGCGTGGTTGATTTAATTAAAGCCAACGTTAGTCCTGGTCTAATTGAGTGCCACTTTCAGCGAGTGCACTTGCGCCCCGGTAACGAAACTTTGGCTACACGCTTCTACTCGAGAAAGTAAAGTGTACTTTGCAAATTATACTGATGACAATGGGTGAGTAGGCAACGCCACTGATATTTGTTTTATTGGGAATGTTTTGAAAGTAATAATGTGTTCCAGCTAAAAGCAGCCCTTGAAATGGAGTTTAGGTACAAATGCGCCAGATGCAGCCATTACATGGCGAGTACTGGACATTTCCTGGTGGTTGTCACTGTAAACTGCCTGAAAGCAAGAATTGCCAAGTTTTTGCGTGTGTGGTATATTATATTTTACTGTATAACAATATTCCTAAAAACGAAAACGATGGTTAAACTATACAGCCAGCTTAGCGGAAACTGATGAAACTGCAAAGCTGATGGCGCGCAGTGGAGTTTTGAGTGAAGTGAAACGAAGTATGTTAAACGAAGTGGGGATGATGTGGGGATGAGTTGAGTGGATGAAGTGGGCGCCGTAGTGAGTTGTGGGCGTAGTGTGTTGTGGGAGTGGTGAGAAGAATGGCACATATAGGTAGTGATATCTACCCAACTTCGTCCACAGGTATAAAAATCTAATAATTTTGATATGGATCTGAAGAAAGTATAGACAGCGGGTGTAAACTTGCCCCCCAACAAATACCGAAGCTTCAAGCTGTAGCAATGCCATTTTATGAGCAACAGTGATGTAACGTAAGAACGGATAAGAACGGAAAGGAACTGGCAGGAGATGACCGAGTACCTAGACTGGATTATCAGTGTAGGAAATTTCCACTCGTTTGCGGGCTCGGTTGACGGAGGAAACACGTGAGTGGAAACCACGGACAGAGAGAGAGACCATTTTCCGGTAGTGATGCCTAATCAGGCTGGCGGCAAACGAAGCGCTTTAGCATACAATTGCCGCTCTGTGCCGCTACCGTGAGTGCTGCCGCAACTAGCTTTGCCTCTGCACGTACAATCTGTCACCACGGCGTAAAGGTCACCCGCTACTCTAGCCGTGGGCTAAAATCTCTGACAAGGGATATTTAGAGAAGACCTCTCAGTGAGAAGTTCTGATTCATTAAGTATATTTGCCCTACGGTTGGCAGCCTCCTTCCGCATCAACTTTGATGAAGTAACCTGAATCATTTTAGTGCAGCTTAAAAGGCGGATGCTCGTTGACAGCGTGATGTGGCGTGTGCAAATAAGCCTGCCGTATTTGTTTCTCCCCGTAGTGCATCAATATTGAACACCCCAAATAAAAAGCAGTCCAATGCACGGTTGCCATCAACTGGATATTCTCCCTGCTTGTAGGGTATTTCCGGAAATTTTCGGGAAGCGTGGGGTAGTAGTGCGGTAATACGAATTCATAATCAGGTGCGGGGTAATTTGCACTGTTTCCTCCTTATCGATCAGTGAATCTCCACAACTTTCCTGAGAGTATAACATTCCTAAATACACCCGAAAGCTAAATATTTGATTTTATAAAACTGGAATCGGTTCAATTCACACGTCACTAGCATAAGGGCAGGCGCGAAATTTAATACATCACTGTTTCGAATGGATTGGTGTGGGGAATCAATACATGTGATGGGGAAGACGAAAATTAAGGTCACTTTCACCACCGCGTCATCTTAAGCGAGTTGGGAAGGGACCATGTGAGTTCCTTAGATGACAGTGGATGGTGCGGTGTAAGAACATCCCGTTTACGACGAAGGGTGACCGGCACTTCACCAAGAGCAAAATTTTATATTATTATTATTATTATTATTATTATTATTATTATTATTATTATTATTATTATTATTATTATTATTATTATTATTATTATTATTATTATTATTATTATTATATTATTATTATTATTATTATTCATTTAATACTAACACCTAATCTTGTCTACCTGAAATAGGTTGCAAAAAAATTGTATTTTATCTAGTCCCCTTCTGTCTGTTTCTCAGTCGCGCAACACAGTACATATTGTTTGGACACTTGCGACGCATTTTTGCCGTCGCCTTCGCCTTCATGTTCCGCGTAAAGTCCAAATAGGTAACATCGCTCCGCGCAACATATGCTCTATGCGCTAGTAAAAGTGCGCAAGTATTCGGGACGAAGGCTGCTTAAGCAGGCATGAGACGAGCAAGCCATCTCTGCCACACTGCAGGCAATAACGCCGATTCGAGCACGGGGCGTGCCACCGACGGCTCCTAAAGCAGTGGGTAAACGCCCCGCCCTTCGTTAATCAGGCGAAGGAACATGACCGGAAACCGAGGGAGGGTAGCGGGGGGGGGGGGGGGGGCTGCGTCGCTCGAGCAGCAACTGTGAACTTTGTTCATAAGGGCGCTCGTTATTTCCACAGACATCAGTATACCATATGAGGCGTTTTTTTTTTTTTTTCTAAGAGAGCCAAGTGCAGAAACGGAAACTAGGCTAAATTTCTGTGAAACGTAAAGCATGCCTAGGTATCCTTAATTTCTACAACAGTTAAAACCGAAATGGGGCGATTCGTCATTCTATCATGAGCTCAAAAAAGCAGTTTATAATCAAAAATGAGCCAAGCACTCGCACCGTTTCAATCAAAGTGGGCCGAATTCATTAAACCGGCACTGCGCTAACAAACAATCAAAACAACCGACATGGTCCCACCCAAAATGTTTCATTTGCGTCTTAGTTGCTCTGTTATCCTGTTTACGTTCTACAACTGGGTTTTCTAGCCCGAGTTGGCACTTACTGAAGCACATGGGGTTCAATGACAAAACTCGATTGTAAAGACTATGAAGGCTGACTTTCCTAGTTTTTTTTTTTTTTCGCATCTTAGTGATTCTTTTCGACTTTAGCGCAACAGTATCATGTCCTATATATCTATTTGCCTAAAGATGAAAACGTGAAGTGCTCAGAAATGGCATGGCATAAAACTTCTGGAACTCTCTTCAAGGCTATTAATAGATGTCAGTAACAAAAAAATAACGCTGCTGACCGTCCAGAATGGTGTGCCTTTTGCCAGAAAGGACCACTCGCTCTTCAAGTCTAGTAATCGCAATTACGCCCATGCGTCGAAGCACGGCACCGATGGAAGCATAAGTGTGATTTCAATTCTATCGCAAAATATTGTTATACCGTACGTTCGAACCGTTTTATACTTATTTTACAAGTGAATTCATGTTGAAAATAAGTGTTTCAATCTATATGAACCAAATGTCAATTCCACAATACTGACGATATTTAGCTATGTAGATTTTAGCCACAATATTTGAGAAAGAAGAACATACTGGCAAAAAGTTGTTTGAGCAAGCCCAACCATACTGTCAGTAGAAAAAAAAGTAAGTTTTTCTCAGTTTCATTTAAAGTGCATTTGGCTTTCTTAGAAATAAAAACGCCTCATACAGTCTCCTAAAATTGCCGCCGTCTGTGAAAGCTCATGAGAAGCAACGCGGCACAACGCAGGTAAAACATGGCGGCTGAAATTTTGCGCTGGCGCACAATTTTGGAGGCCGTAGTTAAAGTTCCACAATAGCAATGAAAAACTTCTGACCGAGTGATTAGTGGAGGGTTGCCAAAGCCGTTATGTTCCTTGCCTCTCGCTTCGTGTTAGTACGTGACAGCTCGTTGCGGAAGTCGTACAGTTGCCACATGCACCAACGGTTGCATGCACCAACATGCAACCGTTGGTGCATGTTGGTGCATGCAACAACATGCACCAACGGTTGCATGTTGTTGCATGCACCAACATGCAACAACATGCAACAACATGCAACCGAAGTGGTCAGTGGTTGCATGCACCAACATGCAACCACTGACCACTTCGAGTGTGATAGCACCGGCTTATTCAATAAAATTGGTGCAGCAAGCACTGCAGGTAGGCAACGGTGTCGACGGGTGAATGCCGTGCCTTGGTGGAGCAAAACTGTTGCCAGTAGGACGAGGAACCCCGGTGCGCATTCGCGGCTCAAGCTGTGAACCTCTGCATCCCACGTCGATGAAACGGATTCTGCGTGAACGCTGAAGTACGTTTTAGAAGCACACACCGTGATGTTCCTCTCCATAACTGGCGATATTTGAAGACGCGCATATGGAGTAGCAGTGTTGTTTAATGTGTGCTTGTTGATGTCATCTTTGTGTGCGATTAACAATACGCGGTCTTCAGGTATATGTCAAAAAATTGTTACCGCAAAGGTTAAATCATGATTATGGGTGGTAATAGTCACAATGGAGACGAGCCAATCGGCGTTAACGTGACTGTGTCTACGTCTAACGGTGTTATAGCTGCGGAAAGCCAATAAAAATCGTCCAAGCTCTCACATATGACTACACTATAAGCACTATTTCTATGACGACACGTTTCGCATTCGTGTTATACTGATTCCTATGACGGAGGGACCGGCCATGTTTTGTTTTGTTTTCTCGGTAAAGAAGCCCTCTGGTTGTTATACACTTATAATAACTAGAAAACCTCATCTCCTTCTAATGTCAGTTCCTTTCTAGATACGCCATCGCCTTTTTTTTTTTTATTCCTGCCTGAGAATTAGTGTTCACGCCACATTCGGCGACGATTATTCGGTCAGGAACTGATGAGCCCACCGTAGCGGCGCACTCGCTAGTACGGCCTTGGTGTTAGCTGAAACAGTAAAGCTCAAACAAAACAAAAAGGAGGAATGTGAAACCGAAGTCGGCGCGGAGCGCAGCGAAAGAAGTGAAGCGTGTCCGACGGATGAGCGTCAACCGCTGGTTTTGTGCAACGTGAAAGGACGGTTCGTTTAAGCGGCATACATTGGCTATCAGAGCAACACACCGACTAAGAAGGAAAAAGAAAGAACAGAAAGCTGCGAAGCTCGGTGTCAATCCACTCAAAAAATGCAGGCTCCTGACAAGGATCTTGGCATCATCGGTTCCTTCAATATTGCTCGCTTCCGGTCGAACTGTGCTTTCGAGAAATATCGGTCGCGCGCTCAATCTAGAAACCTCATTTTCAACGGCAGTTAACAGTGCACAAAAAAGACGGAAAAAAAATGTTTTCTTTTTTTTTTTTACCTCGAATATGCAAGTGAGCAGAGGCAAACAACGGCTGACACTGGCATTGCCTTAACAAGCGAAACACGCCTGCTGCACGAAACCTCGCTTGAGCCCCGTAGATGGCGGCACCGAAGCCTGCGAGCCCGACTTTGAAAGAGCGGGGGCCGTCCAAATGCGCGCGCCCTATCAAGCATCGAGCAAGGATGCCGAGTGGCAAACCGTGGACAATACGCGGAAGTTAATGGCATTGTCTACTTTATCCGTTGCTTTCCACCGGCTCTGGAAATCGTACAGCACGTGCGAGCGAAAACAGACGTTACGCGACGACAGAGCAGAATCATCGGAAGCGGCGAAGAGAGGAACTCTGACTATGTTGGCTCAGTGCAAGTGTGCGCGTATTGGTGACGACCGATGAGTAGCGAATGGTGCTTGACATTAGTGGACGTCGGATCATAGATTAGGCGTCGATAGTGTGACCAGTGGTTCTGTTGTAGCTCTGCAATGTGCGACGACTGAGTTGTACTGTTCACTGGTTTTACGCAACGATAGTGCGTGAAGTGTTTCGTACTCCTCGTTGCAACGAAGCAAGAAACAATCCGGAGTACGTGAAACCGCTCTTTCAGGAAGGCTGCATTTGCGTCGTGGTGAGTGCAAAACGGCAAAGTTACTTTCTCGCAGTCTTCGCTGAGACACTGCCGAAAAGAGCAAAACAGGGAGGCCGCTGAGCACTTTCAAACTTGGTGCTGTGTTCGATGTGACGACTGTGCATACAAGGCATGTGACCCCTTAAGTGAACAGTGCAAGAACGTTGTAGACACGCAGTTCTAGTACAGAACGCTTGATACAGGTGGCATAGTCATCTTGCCCGCACTATATTTGACATGTTCATTCTCTATATCTGTTGAATTTACCCTGTTTAGACTGCATACCGCGTCTCATGTTGACAACACTCCGGAGCCAAGGCAAGAATCGTGTTACAGTAGCCGTGGCCCGTTCACATAACTAGCAACAATGTGTCGGCTACCACAGATCGGTCCACGAGGTACCATCTCACCAATTACACTGCAGTATGGTCATTTCTACGAGAGGATGCTTATTTGTGTCATTAAATCAGGACGCAACAAGGCTTAGGTGGGAAACTTGCAAACAACACGTTTACGGACACTTGAAGCGTCCCCATATAAGGCCGGCTCACGGGGAGTCAAAGCTGCCGTGATGAGCCACTTGAATACCCTCGTGCCGTTGCTTACCACAGTGCTCTTCGCCACGCGTTGCTTCTCGGTCACCTATTACTACAAGTCAAACGAACCTGAAGACTTTCTCATCGGTGCCCTGTTCCCGGTTCATCGACCTCCCTACACGCGCCAGAATGTGACAAGGCTCTGCGGAGAAACGTGGGAACGACCTGGCATCCAGAGAGTGGAGGCGGCACTCCAGGCCGTCGACGAGATCAACAGCCGAGACGACGTGCTACCCCACTCGAAGCTGGGCATACAGATTCGAGATTCGTGCTGGTTCTCGCCCATAGCACTTGAGCAGGCATCTCACTACATCCCGCTGTCGGCCTGGATGGGGGCCGAGTACCAGGAAGAGCCGTACCCGTACCGGCGCCGGAGCACAGAGGAGTGCGAAGAAGAGGAGTCTCGCAAGAATCTAGTGGCCGTCCTGGGCCCTCTGCCGGCAGCTGGCGCTTCGGAAGTCAACAGCCTGCTCAGTCTCTTCCGCATTCCCGAAATCGGCTACTCGACGACGGGACAGGAGCTGGGACTCCGGAGCAGGCTGGGCTTCTACGTCAGTCTGGTGCCCATGGAACAGGCCCAGGCCAGGGCCATGGTGGACCTTGTGGGCTTCTTCAATTGGACCTATGTGTCTGTCGTCTACACGGAAGGTGAGGTAGAGGTTTCAATCGCGTGTATACTGCAATCACTTGTAACAGTGGTCCAGGAAAGTATGTTGCTTGAGACAAGGTTTAAATAATGATAAGAGGGCTTGACTTTTACATGGTAGCAACTGCTTCCCATAGCCGTATTATTGTACGTGTCACTCACAGTTCAAAATAATGAATAGACCTCTCTATGAGGGCAAGCTTGTAATATTCACCCCTCTTTGAGGGTTCGGGAGATATATACGAGTACGTAAGCGTTGCTATGAAAAGCAGTCAAGTTACCTTAAGATTACAAGTCTACCTCCCGTCGAATACTGGCTCCGGCGAAATTCCTTGTTGGAACACTGTTTATTTGAAGCCTTGATTTCAAGCATTTATTCCACTAACTACAATATATTCTCAGTCACATTCGGACGAAGTGCAGACATTTGGGCGAGTTCGTATGATTTAATTTTCATGAGCTGGTAGCGGATTACCGACAGACACAAAGAAATAATATCTCATAACAAACGTATTGCTTCACTTTAAGCGTTTGTATTCTGTTCGCACTGGTCCTGGTCTGTTATTGCATCTGGTATCACGCTACGTATTCATAAAGTCAACTTCTGACAGTAAAAGCAGCAGTGCGAGCAGTGTGTTAGTGAATTGCGGCTCTATATGAAATGCGACACATACTCCTCTTTTAAGGATGCTTCTATCGCTCTTGAGAACTGGGCAGCATGCGTTATATGCAAGAAAAAGAATTGCGTATTGTTTCGTCACATGATGAAGAAGCATTGTGATTAGTCTCCATGATTTTGTTCACTGTCATTTATTCGTCTTTTGTTTTTACAACGACAAGAACACCTTGTCTTGCGTTCTTGCACATTGGTTGCCTTTCGGTCGGCGCACTAATTTTCCCGTGAACATTTTCGCCTCTTATTAGATAATAATTGAGCCAGTAGTAGGTTTAGGCGACACCGCATGTGAGCTCTTTCTTGTGCAGAACTCTCCTAGGCTACAAGATGAGACAAGAGCCGGTATTATATATAAATAAAACAGTAATCGGCCGATGAACAAATTAAAGATTGCAAGAACGTTAAAATGTGATGCGATATCATTTCACATTAACATGCTAAATACTACTTGAGCAGTAACACTAATCAAACAGGAACTACTTGCGTGATTAATAACACTAATCACGCAAGTCACCTTAAAAATACATAGAAGAACAAAATCATGAAGATGGCTCACGGGCAGACACGTAAAAATGCACACAACACATGGGAACGACAATATCACAATAAACGTGGAAACCTTACATAGCGTAATTAAAGCTGTAATAAGTACTCCACAACATTAAATATTACTCAGGAAACATCTCTATCACTCTTACTCCGGTCCCAGTTAACGTGCTAGTTATAGCCGGAAAAACTAAATAAAGAAAGTCTGATGACGTGGCTATATCCAGCACATTAGCACGTAATTAAGAGTGATAGCACTGTTAGCGTTCGTCTTTGTAACGCATTCTTTGGTGATGACTGACATGCCTCTAGCTTAATCAACAATTGTCCTTACCACCGGCCTACAAAGCCGTTCGTTGTCGCAGACGCTTTCGCGTGTAAAGGCGTTTCACGGTGCTTGCTTCAGACCGACTAGGCCCAAGCCCGTACCACGGCACAGGGCCGTCATGCGTTTCAAAATGGCGCGCAACTGCAGATGACTCATCCCTTGACAGCTAGCCCCTCTGTCGTGTCTCACATTTTCCACTGTCCTGTCGACATTCTTTAAAAATGACAGCTTCGGAGTTCAGACTGAACGCCTCTTTTTTGAACTATTGCGCGTTGCCGTTACCTGACTTACGACTGTTGCTTCCAGTAGCTGAAGCTTAAGGACGTTCAATGATCGTTTGTTTCTTTAAGTACAGTACCCAGTGGTGCATTGCTGGAACTGTAGCATGACACAAGTTGCCAGCAGCGCTGTTAATGACATCTGAAGACATCTTCTTCAGCAACATGTTAGCAAAAACAAAGAGGTGCTTATCAAGAGTCACGGAGGGTCACTACTGCTTATACCGGCTGCCTGCCCTGCAACGCGTTAGCGATGCGAGGTACCAGGTATAGTGACTTCTGGATGTTCTGACCTTGTTACTGGAAGAATTCTTGTGTTGGTATTAATTACGTTATTTCGTGTCGGAGTAAATAACATAGGTGTATAAAAGTTTCGCTCACATAGTCATTTACAGAAATAGAGATTCAGAGATAAAATCATTCCTTACATGGACACAGAGATTTATTTGTTATGCTGAATCAATCTCTGCCCTAGTGAGCTTGTTCCCCATTTAACTAGGCTCAAGGTGGTTTTCTCAAAACCAGCAGCGGGATAAATAGCGTTGGGTATTCCTTCGTGTTAATCTAGTTCAGCTCCACGCCACAGGTGGCGCCACAAGTCGTGATACTCTAGCTTACGCCATCCTTAACTTGGTAATGACGCAAATTTTGATTGATATGTGGGTTTTAACGTCCCGAAACCACCATATGATTATGAGAGACGCCGTAGTGGAGGGCACCGGAAATTTCCACCACCTGGCGTTCTTTAACGTGCACTCAAATCTGAGCACACGGGTTTCGCCTCCATCGAAAATGCAGCCGCCGCCGCCGCCGGAATTCGATTCCGAGACCTACGGCTCAGCAGCCGAGCACCCTATAGCCACTATAAACCACCGCGGCGGGGCCACGCAAAATTTGAGCTTGCAGACATGTGCAGTATGGTCCACTGTTAGAGGGAACACTCGACTGCACACCATCAATATTCCTGGCCCTCTAAGAGCGCGTGGTTTGGGAAACAATCTTCATGCAAGTCATTATTCTGTCAAGAGGAGTCGGAACTTTCAGCCACCAGTAGTCTTGTGCATATCTAAGCCGCTATGATTCCGTAAGATAGCGAAATCTAAACATGCTGCTCACGCAGGTGTTCCCTTTAACAGTGTACCCGTCTGTACACCACGAAGTTGGGCCCGATAAAACTGTCCATTGCACCGTAACAGCAAACGTCGAGGAACGCTGTCTTTCAACAGCGTTTTCACGCCACCAAACGCTCCTGGCCGCAGGCGACAGTGGCAGCCAGGCCAGCATGGAGGAGTTCGCGGAGCGCGCAGTGCGCCAGAACGTGTGCGTGTCGCAGTGGCTGGGCGTCCCGGCCAGCGGCACGGCCGAGGACTACCTGAACACCGTGCACAACCTGAACAGGACAAGAAGAGCACGCGTGGTGGTCTGCTTCTGCACGTCGGTCACCGTGCGGGGACTCCTCACCGCCATTCGCGATGCCAACGCCACGGGCGACTTCAACATAGTGGCCAGGTGAGTTGCGGCGACCACAGTTGGTGGTTCATTGATCGATGGATTGGAAGAAATTAAGTTACGCCCAGATACGGCACACGGGTTTAAAGAAGTGGACGGAACTACGCTGGTCGTTCCGTCCACTTCTTTTTGCTTGTGTCCTGTATCTATCGGTGCAGTTTTGCAGTTTTGTTTTGCAGTTTTGGGGGCAACTAGGCCTAACAGTACGCTCTGTTATTTACTTATTTATTCATTTATTTATTTGTTTATTTATTTAGTTATTTATTCATTTATTCGTGACGGTTATCTTTCCCATAGCCCCCCCCCCCCTCCTGTACCGAATTGATAGTTCCGTCTATTGCCTGCGCATGCACAGATAATTCTTCGTACCACTTTTCACAATAGCAGTTCTTAGCTTTTGTAGCGTCCTGGCTTCCTTCTTGTGTCCGTGTTTGCACGCCCTGCCTTTTAATACGAGTACTCACCAATTAGCTCCGCTCTCAGTTATTAAAAGCCACCAGGAATTATTTCCTTATTTCCATGGCTTCGTGGACAAGAGCCCCTCATTCTGAAAAACAAACGTTCACTCAACATGGACGTGTGTATTTTCTCTTTCTGTCCTCTCGCTCACCTTTGCTATGTGTAAGGTAACAGGTCTCTCCCTCCTTTTTTCCTTGAATGTCTTCTGCGGGTCCACTATTTTTTGTCCTGAGTAATACACCTGCCATATTCGATTCTGTCGACATCATACCCCCACATGAGCAAGCATTTTTTGAAAGCTTTTTATGATCAAATGTGTGAATGTCAAGGGCCAAAGACAGGGGGCGTTTTTTGAAGAGATATTTTCGATGCGCATTCTCATTTTCTTCTTTCTTTTAAGCCTAGTTTCACTTGTTTTCTCTATATTTTTCTTATGTTGTTTCGATGGCTACGCAGTAACGCTCCGTGCTTAGGACGACGCATCGGCGGATGCAGCCGATTCCGGTAATGTGATGATTCAGGAAAACATGGCGCTTCAGAGCTCGCAAGCTATAAAAATATGTAAAATTACTATGAGAGGACACATGAAAACAACCGAGTTTCGTTAAAAAAAAAACTTAGGAAAGGCGCAAAAGAAAAAAAAGCAGCCTCACTGCCGTTTGACTGCATGAAATGTAGATAACAGTACCTATATAGCCTATACGTGCGAGAAAAGTTGAAATTGGCGTTCCGCACACATGTTTCCGGCAAATACACACAACCTAAAGCAAAGCAATTCCACGTGCCACGTGTTCCAATAATAACACAATATCCCTCTAGCTGTCAGACAATTTATCATAGAACCAGGAAACTTCTAGTAAAGCCGGGTATATAGGTGCCAAACCTCAATTAAGAGCGGAGATAGGCAGGCTTCTTTGTTTCTTTTCTGGTTTCTCTTTCTTTTCTCCAATCTTTCTATTGTTTCATATTTTTTCAATATTTCTACTTTTTTAGGGGCGAAGCTCCTTAGGCGTGGGCTGTGCGTCCCCTGTAGACTGTATGTAGCCACCTCTAGTTTAGTTCTTGCAGTGTTCACTAGATGGCGGTACCGTCCCCTGTATGTAGCCACCTCTAGTTTAGTTCTTGCAGTGTTCACTAGATGACGGTACCGTCTCCTGTATGTAGCCACCTCTCGTTTAGTTCTTGTAGTGTTTACTAGATGGTGGTACTTGTAGCTGATGATGAAAAGATGCAAGATGTTATAAACTAGAAAGCGGTACTTGTAGTTGATGAAAGACGCGAGATCTTATACAGGAACCACTCTCCCTTCGTTTCACAGACCATAAAGCCGTCATAATGAAGGGACATCGCAAGCCATCCATCGTCTAAGAACAAATAAAAGTTGATTTGTGTATATACACACACAGCGTTTCTCGCGTCTTTACATGATGATCGACTGGGCGAATTACACGGAAGATTCACAGTTTACCGATGAATCCCTCCGGAGCTTCGCCCATTCATCATCATTCACCCCGTGAATATGCCGTAATTTTTTTTCCTCTTTATTGCAGGCCATCGACTGCATTATGATTCTGCCCCTTGAGACTAAGCAGTGTTTATATATAAGCTGCCCTTTGATGGTTAAAGAGGTGAAGATACCATTGCAGAAAATTAGCACTATTGCCCATTTTGGGCGTTCTATAAAGCAGTATTACTAAATAAAGTGGCAAGCAGTTCTATTACATGCATTATTCGCCGCCAAAAAGCCCCCGTTCGAACCTCGCGCTGACGTGCTATGCAGTGAAGGCGAGGCAAAGACAGGATTTGTAGTACTTTCTGGTATTAGGATAGAAACGTTATTTTTTTCCTCCCATAAAACATCTATTCTTCTGACGGTTTCTGTGTGTCTTACTGACACAACATAATATGCAACATTACGTAAGCTATATTTTTATTTGAACCGCTACTATGTGAAACTTGGGCAGCAATATGAGCCAAAATGCTGTTTTTGCCAACTTTGTCACAATATTTTGTCAAAAGTTTTGCTTCATTCCCTTCTAAAGCCTTTTATTCATTTAATATAGAAACATTTAAACAGAAGATGTAAACATATTACCAGCGAAAAAAATTGCACTTTTTTCTAAAAAATGCTACACATGCAGCATATTACAATTTTTTGTCAACAACAACAACAACAACAACAACAATAATAATAATAATAATAATAATAATAATAATAATAATGTATGGGGTTTAACGTCCCAAAATCATCGTATGATTATGAGAGACGTGGTAGTGGAGGGCTAGGCTCTAGAAATTTCGACCACCTGGGGTTCTTTAACGTGCATGCAAGTCTGAACACACAGGCCTTCAGCATTTTCACCTCCATTGAACATGCAGCCGCCGTAGCCGGGATTTAGTCCTGTGATTTCCGGGTTAGCAGCATAGTGCCTTAGCCCCACTAGATCACCACGGCGATCAATTTTTCGCCAAGATATCAAAGAAAGTTCAAATTTAAATGAATATACTACCATAGTCATGAACAAGTAGCACCTTTAGTATAGGGAGAAATTATTTCGTTGTATTTGCTCGAATCAATAATATTACATAAATTATTTTGCTTGACTCACTTTCACTTGGGTTCCCAGAGTTTGAAGTGCCCTCTAAGCAACATAATTTTTTGCGAATCATAAGAACTGAGATCGTCAAAACAAAGGTCTCCGAGATCGAAAGACGTGTGAATAATACCATACCATAGAGTTTCCCAAATATACACTAGAAAGAACTTTGGCGCTAGGATCCATGGGAGCGGCAACGCACGGCGCTTCATAGAGCATGGGAATGATGGGTAGTACACGGATTTGTCTCGTCTTCGTACTTCTGGCTCCGTTTGGGTTCTCGTGGCAAAAATCAGCAAATGTCAAGCAGTTGCGCTTCACCACCTTAATATTTTAGGCTTGCCATTTCAAATTCGTTAGTGATGTTCAAAAAGGTTTCTTCTTTCCTTCGAAACAAAGCCGAAACGCAGCAATAAACGAGGCCACAAGTGCGATTCACCACTCGCTAGTAGAGATAACAGGCAAATCCGTGTACTATCCATCATTCCCATGGACGATCGCTGGGCCAGAGTCCCTTCAAGATAATTTTAGGAAACTTTATGGTTACAAACGCTTTGCAGACTTTCTGCAGGATGGGTGTACCAACTGCATACTCGGAGTTGACAGGGAGTGACAGACAGTTTGTCACTTGTATTCATATATTGCGCATTCCGGGTGACTAATGGCAGTAGAATTTCTGGAGATAGGCTCCAAGTTTTTTTTTGTTTTTTTTTTTTTGTAAGGGTAGTCATATATAGTAAAGCATAGCAAGAGGTGCAGAAAACAGTGATATGAGGCTAAAAGCTTAGCCAATCCAGGCCTAGCTACGTTGTACCAGCTTTGCCGGGACCCAGCCTTGCCCAACTTAGTAAAAAATTTCTGGACATACTGTGATTCCGCACGGCCTCTAGAATCGGAGTAATTCCGAGCTTTGCTCACCGCACCTCCTTCGGCATGGCCTTGGTGATGGGCCCTCTTTTGACCAAGCGAAATTGTCATGTGATCACCCGGGTCTATCTTTCACATCATGGCGTGTCGCCACGTTATGTGAGGTAAAAGTGAGGTCACAAATTTTGGTGACTTGTGACGTCACAATTACGCCATATTGTGGCGCCATCACGTGATGGCGATTTTTCGCATCAGTGGTGCAGTCGCCGACACAGCGGGACTGAGGCGGACGGTTAAATGTCGCGTTGGATGAGACATTGAGGGCTTTCGCCTTGACACACATCGATCAGTTAGAAACAGCAGCACACGTGTCTCTCCTTTGTGCAGTGACGCCTGGACGACGGACGCCCAGCTGCTTGCCGGCTTGGAAGCCGAAGCGCTGGGAACCCTGGCGCTGCGTGTGCACGTTAAGCCGGACCCAGACTTCGAGGTGTACTACACCCAACTCAATCCGGCCGTTAACACGAGAAACCCGTGGTTCGCCGAGTTTTGGGAGACCAACTTCAACTGCAGCCTCCGCGAAAGGCCCGACTGCAAGAGCAACTGCAGGCGCAGGTGCAAAGGTGCGCTGGCTTTTGAGATCCGCGCCGTGAGAATTAAAATCCTTTTAATGCAAAGTCTGCATCTTGCGACCTGACCTCACGCCACATGGCCTAAACTTAGCAACGAACGTGTACCTCGAGTGTCCTGAGAAGGTTGGGGAATCTTGTGGATAATGATGACCGATTGTGAAAACTTCATTAGCAAAAATAATTCTAAACATGTCCACTGACCCAGACGACTGAGGACACGGCTGCATTATGCACGATTAGGGCGCGGCTGCACATCGGTGCCTCCTGTTGTACAGGGACGTTAACGGCACTTAAGACAAATAGCCGTGAAATAAGAGAAGACAAGACAAGCGCTTATTTCATATCCCTGCACTTTCTCTTGCTGTTATAGTACTGCTAGAGAGAGAGCGAGAGAGTCCACCGCGGTGGATAAGTGGATGTTGCACTCGGTTGCTGGCCCGAAGGTCCCATATTCGATCCCGGCCGTGGTGGTCGAATTCCGATGGAGGCGGAATGGTGGAGGCCCGTGCACTATGCGATGTCACTGCACGCTCAAGAACACCACATGATCGAAATTTCTCGATCCCTCCTCTAGAACGTTTCTCATAACCCTCTGTAAGTGTCCCAACGGAAGACGCTGGCTTCAACGTTAACAGGCATCGGTGTAGAAATTCTAAGTGAAAGCAACATATATAGTCCACAATCAATCAGACGGCATCAACAACTTCTACAAGAGCATTTGTAGATTTTTAAATAGTACTATACACCTGATATCACACTTCCAGAAAACCATTTTATTATCGCTGTTAACTTTCTTATAAACGTTGCCAGGAAATTTTCGTTTAATCAGGCCTGAAAGCAAATCCCTTCTACATAAGCATAGAAAAAGAAAATATTTAGCAGACTCTGCTAAACCTAGTGATGTGGCATTTGCTTTTCGCAATAGAAAACGGCTTGCTAATGTCCAGCAATCTCGGACATCTACCAGTGCGGCAAAACCGACCCCAAGGGGAAGTGCTGGGTTTGACATTATGGGGAGCGTTCTTCAAAAAAAAAAAAAAAAAGATTTCTGAGCAATGCCCGATTTTTCGCTCATTGCACTCCAGGCACTTAAATCTGAGGAAGTCCTTATGCTGTACAACGCAATCAGTTTTTATAGGCCGGTTGGATTTTTTTTCCCCCGGGACACTTTTGTGTACCTATTGAAAATGTATAGGGTGATTTTTGAAAAGCTAATTGTAGCGTAACGATAACATATTCGCTAATTGTTCTCCCGTGGCATGTACGGTAGGACAACCTGTCTTTGTTTTTGCAATTTCATGGGATTGTGATGGGTGGAGTTTTTCCTGAAGGGCTTTCCCAAATCTAGAGTGCAGGAAAGCAGCATTACAGGGGTAAAAGAACCACCCATCATTAAATCGATGAGAAAGTGGAAGTTGATCATAATAAAACCTCAGGAAAAGTCTGCAAACGTGATGTACATTATGATGTACAGCATGAAGGTCTGTATGCCACATGGTGTGAAAAACAGTGAACTAAAAGCGATGCCCCTAATTGCTGGGTATATCTATAACGAAGCACTTTTGTACCTTCTTTTGCTCTTTTCTTCCAATACCCGGAATTGGTTGAATTACCTAGAATTTATGTTGTGTTTGTGGAACTCATCTGGCACCCGCTGGCATCATTTCCTTCGAGCCAGGTCGTCTTCACAATTTTAAGATTAACAGGTATATGCTGTAGGTTCCATCAAAGTATGAAGCTACTATAAACCTTTGAGATGATGAAGTCTCAAAAGGAAGTTGACCTGCTGTAGAGCAGTGTTGTAACTCTGTAAAAATTGTAGCGAGAGAAACCAAGTGATTTTCTTGAGCTCTGTGAACGAAAAATAAATTTGAAAGAAAAATATCAGTAGATTCGAGGACATGAACTGCATGGCCGTGCTGTGTGAAATAATACGTAACAGTACCTTCTATTTGCCCTTAATAATACTATGCAACATTTTTCCAAGTAACCATTGAATGACTTATCAAAGGAATTTATTGTCTCACAAGTTTACCAACGAAAAAAAATCTTTACATTCTGTCAACTACGAACGGAGTTGTTGACATGTGACGCCCGCTGTAATTGCTTTCTTTCTTCTCTTGTTCGGAGGATGGAGCCGTATTCTACTTTCTCTTCCGAAAGACAGTCGAGCATGTCCGTGTCTTGGCATGCTCTCCGAAGGCGGGCCCATGGGTCGTTCGGCTCATGACGTCAGTATGGGGTACATGCTCATTGGTGTAAGCATTGTGTGGATGCGCCTTTGAGGGGAAAATGTCGCTGACTTTTGAAGTTGTGTCCCACAATACATTTGCGAGAGGATTCGCTCGTTTGGGATCAGTACGTAATCAGCCATGCTGACAAATAAGTGGTTCAATTAGTTGACGAAGTCACACCTCGCTGTGTACTGGTTGCCTTTGACACAATGCCTTCGTAAGGACCTGTATTGGTTGCACTCAGTGGCGGGACAATTTCACTTGTACCTTAAATTCATAATAAAGTTAAATATCTGATGATTTCTCACTGGCATTTCACTGCAATCATCACAATTATTGTGAAATCTCGGTTACAGTTCACTAAACACTAACTTTGATTGGTCACGCAGTGTTTGAGTGGTATTTAATATTTTTGTAACAAAACTAAGAACGCGAGAGCCAGCACGAGATTGAGTGTAATGAATAATTATTAGGTTCAAAACACGAAAGAGAAACAAAACCGAAAGAAATTTTAAAAGACAGTTTGCTACCAGATTTTTATGATGGTTTGAAAAAGTCGCAGAAATCGATCATCCAGTGCAAAAAAAAAAGGTCATTTCGAGTAATCGCGCCTCCGTGTGAACCAAACGGCAAGTTTTTGGAAGCCTGAGCGATGACTAAGCTCATGAGATGAAGTTTTTAGTGGCTTTGAAGCCTGGAATGGTGCGCTTTTGTATTTTCGCTTTAACCAGATCGCAGATCTTTCAAAGTAGAATACAGTTACAAAGAATATCAGATATAACGTACTATACTTGTCGAAAAGTGCACATTCGGCTGAGCTTGTACTTGTACAGTCACAAGCAACAAGAAAGGGAACACTGAAATTACCTACAAGAAGCCATAGCGCCCAAAAGCAAGCGCAAAAGTGTTCACAACACCAACATTACAAATGTAAAAACACCCTTTACTAATCCCTATTGCAGAATCGTACGCCTCCGGCCCGTGCCCGGGGGGGGGGGGAGGGGGGAGGCGCTAGTGCCTCCGACTCAACCCGAAATTTCGTTGGAAGGGGTTGCTTCAGTGAGATAACTTAGCCACAATAGGCAATTAATTCTCAAGGCCTTCATCAAGTGTCCCCACCAACCCTCACCCCCGAAAAAAAGCTGCTGGCTACGAGCCTTACACAAGCAACGATTGCTGCTTAAACGCGAGCTCAATGTTCCCTCTCACAGTGCTCACGACTGTACATGTCGAGAAACTGCTTGGGCGGAAATAGAGGATAAACGTTTGAGTAGAACACACACATTCCGTCCGCGTTTTTGTTTTACAACATACAATAACAACCTAACTTATATTTTCGATTTTATAGTATACGTCGCTGTAACCAAATCCGGCTGTATCCGTACTCATGAAACCAAGGTTAAACTTCGTGTGCTCATTCCACTGTGCTAATAGGGTCTTCTAGAAAGTCACGGAAATGTAGATACGCAAATACGGTAAGGCAGTACGGTAGCTCTTCATCTTCCCAGTGACAATGCCTTCCTGGAACGACTTATTCCATATATATTCCTTGTTAACAATGCATAAGCTGAAAAGCCACAACTACAGTAATATTTTAAAAACTTTATGTACTGTTGAGGTGCCTTGACGAGGACAGGAAAAGTAGGAGCGGTACGGATAAAAGAGCCTAATATGTCCGTCCGTTACCCCACGCAGGCAACGAGTCCCTGGCAGACAACTTCCACCAGGACGAGATGGTGTCGGGTGTCAAGAGTGCCGTGTTCATGGTGGCGTACGCGCTGCACGACATGCTGCTGGACCACTGCGGAAACAGTTCCCAGCCGGGCGACAACTGCACGCGACAGGTTCACGTGTCCGGAGAACAGTTCGTCGAGTACCTCAGAAACGTCAGCGGCGTCCACAAGGGCGACAGCGTCGAAATGTACTCCCACGCGTGGTGCGTGTATATTTATTTATTTATTTATTTATTTATTATTTATTTATTTATTTATTTATTTATTTATTCAATACTGCAGACTCGAAGTCCAAGCAGGGTGGTAATACACATACAAAGAAAATAATTTCGAAACGAAACAATAAAGGGTGAAGAAGGTTGTTTGGTAGGTTAGTTCATTCATCACATGTATTAGTAAGACAGTTCCATTCACATATCGTTCTTGGAAAGTACGAATACTTCAGTAGGTCTGTGCGAACAAAATATGGGATCAAGGCCTTTGGGTGGTGGTGTCGGGTGGGCCGGCTATCAAATACGGGGATGGGTCTAGAGCTATTTTTTTGTTCACAGGTTGATCAAGGAATTTTAATCTAGCTTTTTTGTCTTCGCATCTGCAGTAAGGGAATGTTGTTGGCTAGATTTAAGTCTGAGGGTGAGTCTAACTTGGAGTACTTGTTGAATAATGCCGCGAACCATGCATTGGGTTTGTTTATTTGTGTTTTGTTTTTTCGGCCTGGCTGCACCGGCCTGTGCTATCACTGTTTTCACAGCGTTTCGAACAAACGCTATCACAGCGTTTCGAGCGTTCCGAACAAACAGCGTTTCGAACAAACGCTATCACAGCGTTCTCGATACAATTCGACTTTTCGAGAAACCCTCGTGCCGAGGGATATAAATTCCCGCACAGCCGATGCCGCGACATTCGATCGCCGACGCTCACTAGCGTGCACGTCGTTTTGCCGACCACTGCTTCGCCGCCTGTGTATTCTTTCAGTTGTTAGGGGAGCACACGTTCGCTCCAATGAACTTGTTTTCCTTATAGACAACTGCGTCGTCCTTTGCTGCGTGACATCTGGTGGAGGTGCGGGGTACATGAACCCTAAGCCATTGCCAAGCCGACAAGCAAGCCCAACACGACAAGCACGCCCAACTCGTGTCAGCCGCCGACAGCAAGGCCTTCAGCCAGAGTTTGGACTGCTCCCGGATAAAAGGAGGAAAGAAGACGTAAAAACCACGATGATCGACGCAGGCACCATGACCAGCGCTACCAACCCTCCCGTCGTTCTGCAACAACCTCGTGAGCCCCCATCATTCCGAGGATCTCCTCCTCCAGCCACCCGGAAGAGTGGCTGGAGAAGCTGGAGCGCATCCGCATCTTTAACAGGTGGGATGACAAAGAAACGTTTCGTCATGTCTTCTTCTATTTAGAGGATGCAGCTCGAACGTGGTTTGAGAACCATGAAGGCTCCCTAACCGACTGGACAGTCTTTAAGAGCGAATTCCTCAAAACATTCGCTGCGGTTGTGCGGAAAGAACGAGCCGCCCTTTTGTTGGAGACGCGAATGCAACACCCTAACGAAGGTGTTGTACTGTTCGCTGAGGAGATGAAGATGCTGTTCTGGAGAGCTGACCCCGAAATGGCAGAAGAGAAGAAGGTGCGCTTTCTGATGCGGGGAGTTAAACAAGAGCTCTTCGCTGGACTCATCCGCAACCCCCCTAAGACCGTCGCTGAGTTCGTCACCGAGGCTTCGATGATCGAGAGGACCTTGGATATGCGTTCGCGGCAATACGATAGACCACTCAACACCCTTTCGGTGAACCCGGTAAACGCCCCTGGATCGGCGACAGAAGACTTGTGGGAGACCATCCGAGCCGTCGTTCGCGAGGAACTGAGGAAATTGTTCCCAGCAACGCCGCAGCCCCAAGTCGCCTCCCTCACTGACGTCGTCCGCAAGGAGGTTCAGCAAGCACTGGGGAATTCCACGCCGTCGGAAGCATCTTACGAACCACAAGCGATGACCTACTCCGCTGCTGCTCGTCGACCCCGACCCGCCCCAACCCGTTATCAAGAGGCCCCGCCGTACCGCCGCCCAATGTCGCCCGCCCGACCCCCTGTAACCCGAGACCAGGCGCCCAGGAAGACCGAGGTGTGGCGAACGCCAGATAATCGTCCACTGTGCTACCACTGCGGAGAGGCCGACCACGTCTACCGCCGCTGCCCGTACAAGAGGCTGGGTTTGCGTGGTTTCTCCGTCCACGCACCCCGCCCGCGAGCCGGCCAGCGCCCATTTGAGATCGAAGAATACCTGTCGAACACCAGCCGTGGACCATCCCGTTTCAACCGTTCGCCATCGCCCTACCCGTACCAATCCCCCAACCGTCGCAGCAGTGCTGACTTCACCCGTGGAAGGTCCCCCAGCCCACGAGGGGGAAACTAAAAGCAGCAACTTCTGGAGGTGAAGTTGCACAACGACGAAAAAATGAAAACCCTCCAATGACGCAAGACCGTGATTCACGACATGCCCTCATCCCGACGACCCGACGACACCCTGACGAGACCCCCGAAAACGACGACAGCTACGCTGCGCGACGCGTACCCGAAATGACGAAGCCTGCCGCTGAGAGGACGACGATGACGACGCATAGTGCCCGACCATCAACACGCGCAAGCCGCGATGCGACGCCCCGACGCACCCGAAATTCGAGGAAAGCGGCATCCGACGTCCAGTTGTCCATCGACGGCCTTGACGTAGTCGCCCTTATCGACACGGGAGCCGACTACTCGGTCATGAGCGGGTCATTCGCGTCCAAGCTAAAGAAAGTTACGACCAGATGGGATGGTCCGCACATACGCACAGCACGAGGCCACCTCGTGACCCCAAGTGGAATGTGCACATCGCGCGTCACCATAGAGGGCACTACGTACCCTGCGGAGTTCGTCATTTTGCCTAACTGCTCCCGCGACGTAATTCTCGGAATGGACTTTTTGACGGGCAATGGCGCAATAATTGATCTGCAGACCAGGTCGATAACGTTTTCTTCCGATCACTCCACGACGCCGCAGCCGAACCTCGGACACCATGCTGCTGTAAGGATCGCCGACGATCACGTCACCCTGCCACCCCGCGCAAGCTTGATGATCGCCGTCTATTGTGAAGGTGCTGCCCCTGACGTCGACGCTATCGTGGAGACTGACCAAAGGTTGCTTCTATACCGCGGTGTGTCTGTCGCAAGAGGCATTGTGCGGTTTAGGCAACGCAGATCCCACGTTTTGGTCACCAATTTCACCGAGGAGTACCAGCATCTAAACAAGGGCGCTGCAATAGCGTTCCTCGAAGAAACGCAAGAAGCGAGTCAAGTGATCGTGGTCGCCACCTTTGAACGCGCACGCGCAGATGCTTCAGGCTGCCAAATCCTTTCGACGTAAACCCGGCGCTGTCGCAAGAAAATCGGGACAGATTACTGGAGTTGCTCCGTCGCTACAGCGAGTGTTTTTCCTCGAACTCGAAGTTACGTCAGACACCTTTGGCGAAGCACCGGATAATAACCGAAGATGGAGCCCGACCTACCAGACAGTCACCGTACCGCGTTTCTTCAAACGAGCGCGAAGCCATCCGGACTCAAGTAGATGACATGCTCAGCGACGACATAATACAGCCATCGAAAAGTCCGTGGGCTGCGCCGGTTGTACTCGTGAAGAAAAAAGATGACACTTTAAGATTTGGCGTTGACTACCGGAGACTAAACAAAATCACCAAAAAGGACGTGTACCCCTGCCACGAATCGATGACGCCCTCGACCACCTCTGCCACGCCAAGTACTTCTCATCCATGGATCTGAAGACCGGCTTCTGGCAAATTGAAGTGGACGAAAGAGACCGAGAGAAGACTGCATTTATAACCCCGGACGGTCTATACGAGTTCAAGGTGATGCCGTTTGGGCTGTGCACGGCGCCCGCAACGTTTCAGAGAGTCATGGACACTGTTCTAGCAGGCCTGAAGTGGCACACTTGCCTCGTATACCTCGACGACGTTGTCGTATTCGCCCGGACTTTCGACGAACATCTCACAAGGTTGGAATCTGTACTCGAGGCCATTCGTACGTTGGGGTTAACGCTGAAGCCTGAGAAGTGCCGTTTCGCGTACGAGGAACTCAAGTTCTTGGGTCACGTCGTGAACGCCGCAGGAGTCCTACCTGACCCGGCAAAAACATCAGCCATTGCGAACTTCCCAAGGCCGAAAGATAAGAAGGGTGTGCGAAGGTTCTCGGACTGTGCGCATACTACCGGCGCTTTCGTCGCAAACTTCGCACGCATTGCAGAGCCACTCACGCGCCTGACGAAACAAAAGCACCCCTTTCAGCTGGAAAAAACGACCAAGAAAAAAGCATTCTGCGAGCTGCAACAACGCCTGCAAAACCCGCCCGTGCTCGCTTCATTTCGACGAAAACGCCGAAACGGAAATGCACACGGACGCCAGTTATATCGGTTTGGGTGCCGTCCTCGTCCAAAAGCAAAGCGGTTACGAAAAGGTAATCGCCTATGCAAGCCGTGGTCTGTCGAAGGAGGAGAGAAACTACTCTACCCTCCGAGAAAGAGTGCCTGGCTATCATATGGGCCATTTCAAATTTCGCCCATACGTCTATGGGAGACCGTTTAAGGTTGTGACAGACCATCATGCGCTGTGTTGGCTCGCCAACTTGAAGGACCCCTCTGGCCGTCTTGGGCGGTGGAGCTTGCGCCTGCAAGAGTTCGACGTTACAATATTCTACAAATCCGGCAGGAAACACTCCGACGCTGACTGCCTGTCCCGCGCCCCCATCGACCCACCACCACAGGACTCCGATGAAGACAGCGCGTTCTTCGGAGTCGTGACAGAGAGCGACCTAGCCGCCCAGCAGCGTGCCGACCCTGACCTCCGCGACATGGTCGACTACCTCGAAGGACGCAACGTCGCCGTGCCTAGGGCGTTCAAGCGCAACTTACCAGCGTTCAGCCTCAAAAACTCCATCCTAGTGAAGAAGAATTTCAACCCCGGAACGAGAACGAATTATCTACTTGTCATCCCCGCAGACCTTCGTGACGAAATTTTGGAAGCGTGCCACGACGACCCGTCTTCCGGACATCTCGGAACAGCTCGCACGATTACAAAACTCAAGGCGAAATACTTCTGGCCCCGCCTTACATCCGATGTCACCCACTACGTCCGGAGCTGCCGTGACTGCCAGCGACGAAAAACACCACCGACGAGACCCGCCGGACTTCTGCAGCCGATCGCCGTCCCAACAAGGCCCTTCCAACAGATCGGAATGGACCTTCTGGGCCCATTCCCTACATCCCGATCCGCGAACAAATGGATTGTCGTAGCGACAGACTACATGACGCGCTACGCAGAGACCACCGCCCTTCCGAGGGGAACTGCACAAGAAGTTGCAAAGTTCTTTATAACCAAGTTGTGCTGCGACATGGTGCCCCTGAGGGTCCTATCACGGGACCCGCGGACGTGACCTTCACTGCGGCAGCTTCATGCAAGAAATCTTACGACTACAGCACACGGATCACCGAAGAACGACGGCTTCACCACCTCCAAACAACCGGACTAACGGAACGGCTGAATAAGACAATCGCGGATATGCTGTCCTATGTACGTCGACGTTGAACATAGACGTGGGACAGAAGTCCTCCCGTACGTCACGCTTGCGTACAAGACACGGCCTACATCCAAGAAACCACGCAGATGTACACCGTTCAAGCTCGTCTACGGAGACGGCCGACTACGATGCCTCGACGCCATGCTTCCGCACGTAAGAGACGACGACCTCAACGGCCGACGTCCAAGGATACATCCAAGCGTGCGTGGAGGAGGCCCCCCCGCACGCTCGCTCGAGTTCGTATAACCGGACCCAGCAAACTGGTGGATACCGGACGCTACAATCTCCGCGACCGAGACGCACCCCCGCCCCCCCCCCGCCCGAGTCCATCCTGGAGATTGGTGTGTGGGTTCGGACTCCCATTTCGACGACGTGGACTCAGTGAGAAAAACTTCTACGACGACTATTTCGGACCCTACCGGAATCTGCGACGTGTTGGCGACTACGTACGAAGTGATCCCCTATGGTGACTCCCGTACATACCACGACGACGCACGGCGGCCCGAGTCGTCCATGTGGTTCGCTTAAAACTTTCCTACGGACGATGACGAACTTTTATTTTAATTTGTTTGGACTGTCCCTTATGTTAGCATCGGGTCGATGCACTCTTAGAGGGGGGGTAATGCCACGAACCATGCATTGGGTTGTTTATTTGTGTTTTGTTTTTTCGGCCTGGCTGCGCCGGCCTGTGCTATCACTGTTTTCACAGCGTTTCGAACAAACGCTATCACAGCGTTTCGAACAAACGCTATCACAGCGTTCTCGATACAATTTCGAAAAACCCTCGCGCCGAGAGATATAAATTCCCGCACAGCCGATGCCGCGACATTCGATCGCCGACGCTCACTAGCGTGCACGTCGTTTTGCCGACCACTGCTTCGCCGCCTGTGTATTCTTTCAGTTGTTAGGGGAGCACAAGTTCGCTCCAATAAACTTGTTTTCCTTATAGACAACTGCGTCGTCCTTTGCTGCGTGACAATATAAATCTAACAGAATATATATACGCCCTCGCTCAAACGCCTTCACACGCATTTTCAAGAAGTCCAACGCGAAATGGGCGAAAAGGAAATAGGCAAAAAAAGCTAATTACCGACACGGACTTCCCTGGTCTATACAGCAGAAATTCACTGGAACTTTCTGTTGAAATTGAAGTGACGCACTGCCAATCGCGTGGCCTCCCTGAGTGTTCAATACTTTACAATGCAGCACCATGTGTTTCTAGTTGGCGGTTTTCAACTGTCCTGGGAATCCTCACGCATTGTCATGCAATACTAGATCTTCATCAAAACATTCCAACGGGTCTGTTTTGTATAGAACCTGGATTCCTTCATTGTACCTAGCATTTGTTCTTTATATGTTTTTTCCCCTATTTCCCATTCAATTACAGCAAAACGCCGTTCTGCCGCCAACAAACGGCGCCACGTACAGTCGTCCCCAATTCTTGTGATAATCTTACAGATATGAAAAATGTGTAAACGCATACGCACAAACACACGCCAACGTAGGCAGTTATGCCCTCGAAGAAGACAAGGACACCAGTCGAAGCGTCAGGTCACAGGACATACTGGTTTCGTGAATTGACTCTACAAGCTTGATTGATAAGTGTGGTTTAACGTCCCAAAACCACCATATGATTATGAGAGACGCCGTAGTGGAGGGCTCCGGAAATTTCGACCACCTGGGGTTCTTTAACGTGCACCCAAAGCTGAGCACACGGGCCTACAACATTTCCGCCTGACTCTACAAGCTTCCATCCTACCCTCAGCTTGTTACACTCTCACGCAGTTTGTAAGAACTAAGTGTTGCAACGCGTCGAGCCAACTGCACTTAAACAAAACCTGTGCTTCGTAGAGTCATGCGGAGAACTAGTGCGGAGAATCCAGCGGACGCGTGAGTGCAGTCACAAGATAAAAGCGGGCGTGATTGAATTGTGAAGCCTAATTATCCCATTATTGTCCGGCAGTTGCTCGCAGCATTTTTTTTCCTCTTTCACTCGGACATATAATTCCACCTCAATGGTTGTCATGAACTTACAGCTGACTCTAATGCATTGTTGTAGTTGTAATGTGCGTGGGCATTGAATTCTGTCAGAACGGCTAGTGTTAGAGACTTCCTTAAAAAAAAAACGATTATCTGTTGCATGTACTAAAGCGAATGATGTAAGGGAAGTTCTTTGCGCTGTTCGAGTGAACACAAAACCAATACATATATATCTATTTCCTCCCATTCTAATTGAACGCCCAGAACACCAAAACATTTCTGCTTGCGCCCTCTGCATCATACGCAACTGAACTGTCAGCAAAGTCACAGCGATCTTTAATTCTTTTTTGTCTACCCGCAGTTACGACGTCGTGAATTTCCAGGCGCTGGACGATGGGCAGTACGAGTTTGTGGACGTGGCCATGTGGTCGGACGAGGAGAGGATCTTCATGTACGCAGAACCCAAGTGGGGCGACAGTGACGAGGACGGAAACGACGACGAGGTTCCGGTGTCGCAATGCGGAAAGCCGTGCGCGCGGGGGTACATCAAGGTGCGAGGGTGGCGAGAAGTGAAGGCGAAGGAGTGATACCAGAAGTGTGGCAGCTTGGGCTAGTGGGTATAGCATGACGATAGTTATAGCGCGAGAACAAAACGACGACACAGAGACAAGAAGGACACAAAAGACATAGCGCTCGTGTCTTTCGTGTCCTTCTTGTCTCTGTGTCGTCGTTTTGTTCTCGCGCTATAACTATCGTTATGAGTGATACCAGTTTTAACTATTAATGGAGAAGTCCACGCTACCGCTCATAAATTTCACAAATTCGGATGATCTCTACAGCGATTGGAGTTGTATGGCGAATTTCCGCCGTCGCCACCATGTATGACTATTGTGGTAATCCTCAACAGGGGCGTAGCCAAGAGGGAGGGGGAAGGGGGGGGGTGTTCAAACCTCCTTTTTCCTGAAATATTGCTTGCGCGCCCAACGCACGCATGCACCTACATGAAGTATGGTTAATAATTAACCCCCCCCCCTCCACCCGAAAAAAAACTGGCTACGACCCTGCTCCTCAATGTGCTATTTCTGAACTATATTAGTAACCTGAGCACCCAGTGACGTTCTTTGTAATATTCCAGAGCACCGGTGTCAGTTGTCCGAAAACCCTGACAACAATAATACGTTCATAAAAAGGAGTGGAACCGGTTAAGCTGGCGGCTATATATGATGTAGACATTGGGGTCTGTCATAACATAAAAACTGTAGCACGTTATATAAGTAGTATAAATCGGGGCAAACGAATTATATCTCAGAAACCCATCGGATCGAGGCTCGTTGCTCCTGCAACTGATCATATTTCAACCTCACTCTTATGACGTGTCTTTCGAAGCGGAAAGCAAGAACGCCGAAAACGCATATAAATGGATGTAGCCGGTACGAGTGTCACTCCCACACTCCAGAGTTTTCCTGTGGAGTCAAAGACAATATTTCACCTTTCAGGTGCCCGAAAGTAACACCAACCTCTGCTGCTGGAAATGCGTCCAGTGCGGCAGCAACCAGTACGTGCAGAGCGAGTACAGGTGCGGGAACTGCGAAGAGGGCACATGGCCCAACGCTACTCTCAACGGTAAGTGAGTGTGTCCGCAGACCTACACAAAGTTCGATATCGAAAAAAAAATTTGCCCTGAATCAGCATGCTACACTGCAAATTTCGTTGAAACACGATAGTCTTGCGTCTGGAGAGAGTGAACAAAACGTTTATTTGATGTTATGATTGATTGATATGTGGGGTTTAACGTCCCAAAACCACCATATCATGATTATGAGAGACGCCGTAGTGGAGGGCTCCGGAAATTTCGATTACCTGGGGTTCTTTAACGTGCACCCAAATCTGAGCACACGGGCCTACAACATTTCCGCCTCCATCGGAAATGCAGCCGCTGCAGCCGGGATTCGATCCCGCGACCTGCGGGTCACTATACCGCAGGTCGCGGTACCTTAGCCACTACACCACCGCGGCTATTTGATGTTCTTCGCAGGAAAATCGGTGAATGGTATTCTGGAGGCGCTGCGTTAGAGTGCTTCGAGCGTTTAGCGGTGGTGAACGAGTGCATCGAGGCACGTTAGACACGAGCGCCATCTGGCAGTTATCTTCGAAAACGAAGGCGTGCGCGCCCGCAGAGAAAGATGCGCGCCTGTCTCGGAGGTGATAATGTGTAGAAAGCAAAGTGACGGGCAGGTTCCACCACCTATTGTCGTCGTAGCAAAGCGTTGGAAACACCTTTTTGAGCATCGCGTTGCACTGTCAGCGCAGCGCGATAAAGGCTACAGTCCTTAGAATTACTTGTGTGTGCCTCTTCTAGTATAAATGCAGACGTACAAAACATCGGCGTGTTGTTATGGTGCCTCAGATATGTGCAATAATTGCTTTTTAATTGACAATCGCACAACTATGAACGCCAAATCTTGAGCAATATTGGTGGGCGTTGCGGATAGGGTCGGCCGTTTGGTGCTGTTTGAGGTATTGTTAAGGCCGGACAAACGCACAAATGTACAGACAAACAGACACACCACAATTTTTTCTGTCGAAGGTCCCCAAGAAAGACTGTCGTCTTTAAAATTCGATGGACACCCATTGGTATGCAGGTTTTGGACATACAAATGTCCGGTGGAGATCCCCAGAAATCCACCAGCTATACGGTTGTCCGTAGGATCCTTATGCCCAAGAAAACTGGCCATATGTCAAACGTCCGATAGGTGCTAGAAACTATGTACTATCAGCGTCAAATGAAACCCGAGCAGCGCATGTGAGCCCTTCTCACCCTCTTCTCTCCTACGCCCCCTCCCTCTCTCGCCTCGCAACGCCGACGCAAGCAGCGTCTGCCAGCAAATTTTCGGTTGAAAAAAAAAAAAGACTGCTCGTGCGGCACAACTGTCGTTCACTGGCCACCCCCAGAAAGCCCTGCGCACGACGTTTGCACGAGACGACCTACTTGCGCGGGTGTAAATAACTTTGCGTACGACATACTTCCCAATTGAAGAAGGCCGGTGTTCAAGTCAGATATTCACCGTTCAAAACAAGGCACCGCTTTCTGAAGTTACAATTTTCGTGAAACAGCGCAGCAGTGAACGAACAAAAAAGGAAGAGAACGACAAGAGCTCAACAATGTTCTCTCTCTCTTTTGTCCGTTATCCGCTACTGTGCTCTTTCTTGGAAATGGATTACCATCAAGCCTAGCCCTGCACCTTGGTCATACCCGAGTGTTTCATAAGCCTACTTACCACAATAACTCGCATCAACTTGAAGTTCCTATATGCCCTGTGGCGCAGATGATGCTAGTTAGCTAATATTTGTTAACGACGGTACATCCACTGACGTTCATCACAGCTAGCAATCTTCTAAGATGCGTAGTTATACTTACCACAGGAAACCTAAGACCATGGTGCATAATTCATATTCTCAGAGACCGATCAGCACCGAGACAGGTTGCTCAGACTTCTGATGTACATTAACAGCTGAACTACCATTACGAAGTGCCATTATTTGTAGTTGTGGTACCAGAATGTCATTAGCAAAGAAGCTAATTTGTTATGGAAACTGTTTTGAGATGCGAGCAGAAGTTAATCTATTTCTTGGTTTTATGCTTCAGGGTGCGACCCCATACAGCAGAAGTACCTGCAGTGGACTGAGTCAGCCGTCATTGTGGTCATGCTCGTATCGGCTCTGGCCTTGGCTACAGCGGCCTGCGTCAGTGCCATCTACGCCCGCTACATCAACACTCCGCTCATCAAGGCGTCGTCGCGAGAGCTCAGCTTCGTCATCCTGGTCGGCATCATCGTGAGCCAGGCGAGCACGTTCGCTATCCTGGCCAAGCCTTCACCGATGTCGTGCCTCATGGAGCGCCTGTTCCCTGTGCTCAGCATTGCGGCCGTGCATGCGGCCATCTTCACCAAGACAAACCGCATCGCGCGTATTCTGGCCGTCAGTGAGAAGAGAATATTTCAACGCAGGCTTCGCTTCATGAGCACCACCGCCCAGCTGACCACGACCGGGGTCCTCATCATGGGTCAAGTCATCATCACAGGGACCATGCTTGTCATTGAGAGGCCCGATACGATTCTCGTCTACCCGGCGAGCAACAGGGCGGTCCTGCTGTGCGACACGTCCGAGCTTTCCAGCTTCTTGCCGCTGGCCTACGACTTCGTCCTGATCGCCATGTGCACGGTGTACGCGGTCAAGACCAGGAACGTGCCTGAGAACTTCAACGAGGCCAAGATGATCGGGTTTGCTATGTACTCGACGGTCGTCATCTGGGTCGCCTACATCGCGGTGTACATCGGCAACGAGGACAACCGCGAGCTCGCACTGTGCCTTGCCATCAGCATCTCGTCCATCATCGTGCTAGCGCTGCTGTTCCTGCCACGCGTCTACATTGTGCTCTTTCACCCAGAGAAAAATCGGCGAAGTTCATTTCTCACCTTCAGGCAAGACACAATGGAGGCTAAGGTGAACACCGTCTCCAGTGCCCTGACTTACGAGAACGGTGGCACCTACGTGCCACGGTCGCACGACAGTGTTAGCTAGGACGAGTGTTGCGTGACGTCGCTTTGATCGCACAGCCAATGCAGCCTAAAACACACATGCCAGAAGATTATCAGCAAGAGGAACTGGTTTGACTGACACTTTTTCCATTAATCCCACGCACACGTTTCACTGCAATGAGGCATCAGCAACTCGAATGTAAACTCTGGTGCTAGTTTTATGCAGAGGGCACCAATGACACGTTTATGTCAAGCTATGCTCATATGCAGCTACTTTTCCACGTTAACTTGTCAAGATCGCTATTTGAATGCATGTTTTGCACAGACAACAAAAACAATGCAAATGCCCAGAGTAGTAATAACACCTGGAGGCTGAAGTTTGTTGCCACTGCTTGGATACAGTTACAGAGTGCCAAACATGTGGCATGTCCTACTAGGTCATCTCACTCAGACAGTCGTGTGTTGATGGGCTGCATCTTGTGCGATGTCTTGAGCGCTTAAACGCGGTGTCACGCATCGTCTTATCTTTCTGCCATTGTCGGCTAGAAACTGCCTCAAGCACCAAGCACAATGAACAATGCTTCCTCCATGAGTTCATGGCTTTTCCAGATTGTGCAGTGTTCTTTGCTTCTAATGTATGACACAGGAAAGTGTTATTGCATCTGTCTGCATGGTGAAAGTTGGATTGAAATATGGTGTCATCGTGTTATACAGACACATGAAACGAAGATGTGCATCGAACATGTGTTTGCGCGCACGACTCGAACAGATGACGCCACTTTAGAGCTACCGCCATTGCTTTTATACACTTGTACATCGTATCAGCTCCCCCTGTTTGAAAGGGTGGACCATAAATCATCTTCTTCGATTTCACATCTTTGTGTTTCTTTTTCATCCGCTTTATCGATTACAGCGGTATACATCCACCAAACACAAAAGTGTAATGTCACATTACTACTAGATGTAGCATCACATATCTAATTAACTGCCTCGACGCAATTGTCCTATTCACGGTGCACTGAGCGCATCTCAAGTCATGAACCACCGTGGCTGTGCTAAAGGTCAATGTCGACCAGACTGAGATCCTGTAGGGCACACCATGCAGTCCTGCTTGTCATTCAGGAATGTAGAGGGGGCTCCAACTGTATACCCTATCTTCCTTCGTTTTCAACCACAGCCAAGTCACCTCAATTGAATCTGCTCTGACTACATTACTTTAGAATCCCATTATTCTTTGACAAGACCTAGTAGCTTACTTCTTTTTCACATATTTTAGATCAGCCCAAATGTTTAGATTGCACAATCTTGGAATTGATGACTGGCAGGATTAAAATCCTACAGGAGCTGTGGCAATAGGTGGCAACGGTTCCATTACTCACACAGCACAGCTGCAAGAGGCTGTCTGCAAGTGTAAGGAGACACTAGCCCACACATCTGTGCCAGTGCTTGCAATTCAAAATGTCACCTGCCTCACTACTGACCGTGCAACCACCTACACAGAGATGCCAAGTTGCATGCCCTGCATTTCACTTTGAGAGTGGGCCATAAGTACTCAAACGATCTGTATTGTGCAGTCCGAACAAGCACACATTGGTCAATAGCAGGCACGCCAGTTGAATTCCAAACAGCAGCAAAAAAAAAGTCTGCACAAAAAGGCACAACTCTCCTCACAAAACAGAAAAGGGCCAAAAGCCTCAAGACGAGATTGACCTCAAAGGGCAACGAACTTTCTCAATTCACCAATGATCATATCAGTCTGCTGCAGCACAAACAGGTCAAGTCAAGGAAGTAAATAATGAGCAATATTTCTTGGAACCCTGACCCTGGTACATCTTTTAATGCAGATAATCTTTTGAAGGCAATCTTGCACGAATCTTGGAAAATATTGGCTCAACCGGAAAAATGCCAGTGATCAAGCTAGCAGACGAAGTCTAACCATTTCATCTATTAGGACTATTCTGAATAATAACCCAGGTGCAACAGTGAACAGCAATAAGGAATAATTCACAACATTCATAAACAGGGCAAGTTCGTAGGAAATGACATATGATGCATTACGTACATATTACCGATACCAAATGTACACAAGTTTTATGTTCCTAATGAAACTGAATTTTGTGAGAACGAATTGTGTGGAGTATTGGCTTCGTGGTTATGCAGCGTTCATTGCAGCAAAGCCAACAGAAAAGCAACAGGACAATTTTTCAGCAGCTTTGGCTCCAAGTCGACACTTTCGAGAGTCTAATTATACACATCAGAGCATTGTTTTAGATTGTTTCTTGCATGAGCATAGAATTTCGGTGCACGGTGTAGAATGCTCAGGCAATATATCAGAGTATGTGAAAACAATTTGACATTCTAGGAGGAAGGCAGACCAAGACACAGCAATTTTTTTTCGGGCAATACTCTAATTACATAAAAGAAGACTGTACAGTCAAATAATATTGCACTTGATACGAAAGATATGACAGACAACACAGTCAAAACAACACTTCTATCTCCACATGCTATTAGGGCCAAAATATACTAGGCAGCATTGCAGGTAGTTATCTATCAATACTTTCAGCGCTGTTTGCATGAAAAAGAAAACATAAACGAAGTCTGTATGCTCAGCATAACAATGCAGTAAAATTTTATAACACACATTTTTGATAACAAATGACACGCAATGATTTGTCCTAACCTCTTTCGATACTGCTCAAACCAAGAAAGCAGAAAAAGCAGGGAATGTGCTTCAAGCACATTTTCGGGCATACATCGTCCAGTGCCGAGATATGTCTACTTTACAGCTTGAAATGAGGGTGTTGCAATACTGGCCAAAGTGCATTTCATGATGTTACCAGTCAAAGAGACCATGATTTCATTGATAAACAATGTAATTATCAAGCTGCACGAAATAGAGACCCCAGCACCAATGACACCGCACCGAATATGTATGCGCTCGAAATGCATCTTATGTAGCAACTAATTAATATTAATTACACCCAAATTCTGGTTGAATCACACATGCCACTCAACATGCAAAAACAGAAAGAACAACTTGTACTTAAATAATAAGCTAAAAGGAGAGATTTCAAACAAAAATATAACAAGCAGCGTATATTATGCTAGCTGATGCTAGTGTGTTAACACTGCTCGATTACAATGTTAATTCAGAAAGCAATATGCTGTAAGCCTAAGAATGAGAGCTGCTCTATTATATGTAAGTACAAACTAAATACCCCTCAAGCTTCTGGGTGCAAATAAAATTAAAGAAAAAGAGGTTAGAGACTTAGGAAGAGGTAGTAAAAGTGATCACTAATATCATGGGTGTTACCATAAGACTGTTTGTCATAACATATATGTTACTGACAATGCTTTACAACTTTAAAATAACATTCTGTGTGAATAAGCCTTTCACACTTTTGCAAGAATTGTTAAATAGTGCAAAATTATTATTTTCGCATCAACATTCAACGGTAAAAGATAGAAATATAGTCCCCATTTGTACTCACCCTATGACTGATGGATAGAAATACATTCATACACTAAGGCAGGCATGCAAAAGGGCCGCACATTACTGAATTACGTCTTACATCCAAATGTGCCGATCTCTCTATGCACTCGGGTATTCGACGATTGCCTCGACTGAAACGAGGCCCAGAAAAACACACACAGCAAAACGAAATAAAACACACATTCAGCTTGGCAGCTCAAACAATGCAGAAGGTTCAAAGCACAGGAGAACTCCCAGTAAATCTTTTTAAGTTAGGTATTGACACACATGAGCATCTAGTATCGAAATGCAAGCCTTCAGCTGGAGAGCCTGGTTTTCCTTTTTTCTTCTTTTTATCATCTCATCCTTACTTTCGACACCACTAAAACTGCAAACCACCGACACCACTAAAGCTTCAAATCAGTTTGCAAACTGATTTTGATTCGGTTGGTTAACCAGAATCAAAATCAAGCCATTAATTAACCACGAACAGGTAGTTAGCCTTCTTGAACATCATGCAAGGAACTGGAAAACATTACGAACTAGTACTAAGAGCTGGAATAAACTGTACAAGTTGCTTTCAAATGACAGCATATCACAGCTAACAGGCATTCCAGGAAGGATCACTGAAATCTCTTCACATTTGATAAAAAACAGGCTCACAACAAACATTCCACATAATGAGGCAACACGTGGTGATTGAACAGTAATAGTACAGTACGTTCTCGTTTGGTCAAAAAAAGGGGAGGGAAACGCATTAAAGCGTACACGACCAACACATTTAGTAGCGAGGAAAGCCTAGTACATTTCTTTATCAGCAGGCAAAAGACAGTGTACTGCCGAAGCTGCGATGCCAAAGGAGTTGCTGACTAATGATTCATGCTAAGGTTTTCACACACATGCCTAGTCCAAACAACTAGTGATTGAAGCTGGTGAGTCTACTAATTTATTTAAACTAGGGGTGTGCAAATATTTGAAATCTTGAAGATAAATAGAACATTTTAATTATTCAAGACACATTTAACTACAAATTCATATTTTTTATGCTCCCAAATATTCAGCCTTGAAACGTTGAGAATGTTACCCTCTACAGCCTAATATTCCGTGAAACGGAGATTATTCATAGCCATTTTAAACTCGCTGCAGTTAAAAATGTAGCTGAAATGAATCCCTGACCAAATCTCCAAAGTATAGGCTTGTGTATTCGGTGCCTCATAACTCGTTCTATGGCTATTGATTAGCATGTCCTGTGATGACATTTTGTTGCTAAATGTTGCACTTACATTCTGAAAACATCAAGTATTGAATTCTCCCCCACAAAAGTCTTGTAATGAGCACATTACAATAAGTCATTTCACCTTGCTGCAGTCTACTTAAATGCGATTTCAATATTTATATTTTGAACGATTTGTAAAAGCAACTTTTGCTCACTTTTATGCAGCTTTCTAAACTAAAGTTAAACCCCTTAATAAGAGGCATGCTCTGGGCAACAATTCATGTCTTTTATACGAGATGTCTCTTATAAGCAGGAGACCTTGCATGCATTTTCATATCCCCACTATTTTACTGTAGTCATACTGGTGTCTCTTATACCGATTTGTCTCTTATATCAGAGTGTCTTATAAAGGGGTTCGACTGTACAAGTCGAACCCATTTATTCAAAGTATTCAAAGTATTCAGTATTCAAAGACAGTTTTTCTGCTTTATTTGTATTCGATTCGTATTTAAAAATTTCAATATTTGCACGCTCCTAATACAAACACTCACAAGACTGGCAGGAAGCAGAACCAATCTGAGCATTTGACAGACACACAATAAAACTCCCAACAAGCAATAATCAAATACACTGCGCATCCAATTGCATGCTCGCAGCTATTGGGCTAGATCAGTGCCAGAACAAAATATAGTCACACTATTCCGATCTAATTGTTCTGAGTGTGACAGAAACACTGTCTCAGGAAGAAAGGGCACATTGAGGTTGCTAAAACAAACAGTACGCTACCTGAGTAGGATATAATAACTCGAATCAGCAACAATAAAAAATAAAAAAAGAACAAGGACACCAAACAAACGAGGAATAATGACAAAGTTATAAGGACACGTCGAAGGAAAGTTCTCTCGCGCCACACATTTCCGTGATGCATGTGTTCGCATGATAGAGGTAACACATATTTAGGAAAGTCTTTTGATGTCACACCTCATGATGAACTTCGAATGAGGGGCTCCTTCCTTGCGTAATCGCCATTCGTACTCGGCTTATCGCCATCTGGGCCTGGGCTGACACGTTTCGTGGTCCCGTATGTGGAGCTTTTCTTTATCTCTGACAGACCAACCATCCAGTGAAGAATGGAGAGCACTGGAAATAAAAATCAGCTATTTAAAATTGGCAATTTTCCGAATGAATACTGGAAAAATGCACCCAAAAACAATTACCATAAAGGGGTTAAAAGGCTCCCTCACAAGATTTTGGCTGTTAACACAAACAAGTCCTGCTAATTCAAATGACACACGTTAGTTAAGGGGGGAGGGTAACCCAGAAACCAAACTTTTTTTATTTTTTAGGATATCTTAATGAAACTTTCAGGGTATATCCACTACATTAAAACTAGAAAAACTACAAAGTTTCACGAAATTGTGTTCAGGGGTTCTAGAGTTCCTGAGGTCTTACAGAGTGGTTCACTTGTGTGCGTGAGGAAGAGCCGGAAGAAATCCCAGGACACACCAGAAGGCTGAAATTATTTGTGGTCATGCCTGGATAGATATCCTAGCGCACTAAAAAGCCGCTTTTTTTGTTTTAATTTCCCCTACAAAAAAAATGTTATGCAACTTTAAATTTGATGTAGCCAGATGGTATAACATTTATCAAAAATTAATTGTTTATTAATAATTATAGGCACAAATTTTCAAAATAAGAAGCTTGTTATACCCTGGCAAATCTGATTGGCAGTTCTTGAGAAATCACTTAACTCAGCACCGCAACTAATTAAAAAATCAATCTTGACAAAACGGACTTTGAAAGTTCAGCACATGTGTTTTCCTCAAAAAGTTCCAGCAGAGCTGCTTGAAATGTCCTTATGCACTCTTTTTCTCTTTTGTTTTCTCTCTATCTTCTAAGTGCCATTTAGCCTTTTCTTTTTTCAGGCGTAGGGCATCTCTTTCAAGAGCTGCCTGCATCAGTTCAAATTTTTTTCTGAGTCACTGGCATAGATTTGAGTTCAGCGCGAGCGGCGTCTCGATGTCTCGCATTCGCATTGATTTCTTTCTTAATTAAGAAATGCGTGTGCAGAAAGGGTTGACGGCCCTTGCATGCTATTAGCCCCGATGCAGACGAAGTGCTGTGTCTAGCGATCTTACTCGGTGTCCCGCTTGATGGCACCGATTCTGAGCACGTGCTACATCCGGTGATCTCGGACGCGCTCAATGCATTTACGGCTCCCTGTACACACAGTTTGTCGGTTTCTGGACTGGTGGCAGCCGTTAGCACAGTTTCACCGCCGCAAGTATCTACCCACTGGGCACTTGAAGCAGAAAAGCAGAATTTCGATTCTTGTAGAAGCCGCACAAAGCATTTCCGCGTTTGGAACTAGCGCACCGTCTTCGGCTTTGTTGCCGGCATCATGAACAGCAACAAAGAGGCACAAAACTTGTGCAAAAAGAAAAAAAAAAATAGAGAAACTGATCGCAAATACCGCACATGGCAAAAAGCGGCTCGTAAGCAAATGTCTATCGAGGCAGATGCAGCAGAGCACAACAGCGAGACGAGCCCGCCGGACGTGCCATCGCCGGAAGAGACCACCCCCACTCAGCGCAGCAGCTAATGACGGGCGCGCTTTCGCTCGCCCTCGCTCGCACGCGAGATATGAATGAGCTACTCTAGCCAATCAGCACTCCACATCGCATCTTGGGGAAACGCCGATAGCATCTCAACCACGTCGTTGACGCCATTTTGAAAAGCGGCAAATGAGAGGGAAAGAATTCACGGTCAAAAAAAACCAAAATGCTGCAAGACAGCCGCATGGTCTCGGAACGACACGTGCACGAAGTTTGGTTTGATTTTTGCTTTTGAGGGTGTTTTGGGTGCTGCGGCGGCCTCAAAAATAGCATTTTCTTTTGCACTTTGGGATTGAATTAGGCGCTGATATTTACAGAATGGGTAGTTTATGTGACATACAACCCAACAGTATGGTTTTTCAAAAACAGACTATTTTGCAATTTTTCGGCTTTCATGTATGGTTTTTCAAAAACAGACTATTTCGCAATTTTTCGGCTTTCAAGGGCCGCGTCCCCCTTTAAAATGATTCAAACTGCCGGAGACTGGACTAAGACACAAATATACAGTAAAATCTCGTTAACTCGGATCTCACGGGACCGGAGAGAATGTTTGAGTTAACCGAATTCCGAATTATCGAACGGACCATGAAAACAAAAGGAAAACGTACACGGCACAGACAAACCTTTATTTCTTAAAAAAGGGTGTTATTTTTGCCTGCCTCGCCGTCGGAATTTCTGACAGAACAATCTTATTTAATCCCATCAGGTGGTGGTGCGCACGTTCACTGTCGGGAGAACAAACGCAGAACTCCTCGAGAACAGCAAGGGCTTCGGCGGCCTCCTGCACGGTGCGGCGACGTCGCGTCAGCTCATCACGTCTTTCAATATCATAAGCTTTCTTTCAAGATCATTTGCTGGCTGCTGTGGCAACTTAACTCCAGTGACGGTCACCATGAAGCGCGACGGCGGCGGCAACGCGCACAAACACAGCCGCAACACGCGAAGTCACAACACAAAGAACCAAGACACGAAGTAGTAAACCAGTAGGCGTAGCATGGGCGTAGCGAGCAGCTGTTAGTAGACACTGAATGCGCCGGTAGCTCAAGCGCTTCCACCGGGTGGTGACTAGTGCCACCTAGCCACTTTCTCCTCATTCACTATCATCATCGTCATATTCTGCTGCAGTTCGCTCGGTTTCGGTTTCTCCAAAACTCCAATTCTGCCGTTGGTTACGGCAAGCCAAGCAGCCGAGATCGCGCGACTCTGGAGTCCCGATGGCCCTCTCGGGAGTTGTCCGAGATAACTGGTGCGCAGCTAAATCCCTCCAAATTAATGAGCATTTGACCTCATTGGAATATACACAGTTTTGCCGGGACCACGCTGCGAGTCCGAGTTGACCGTATTTCCGAGTTAACGAGGTCCTGATATATGAGCTTTTACTGTATGAGTCTGTGTCTTCTGTTGTTTGTGCTGCTACTCACAGCAGAGAACAGCCAGTGTAAATTGTTGACTACTAGACTTAAGACGCCTTTCCATCTCTCGCATTGCCACTACTCGGGCTTGGTACCTAAAATGTGTCTTGCAAGTAACAGAATGAGAAACTTCAGAGGTGTCCGATGAAACTGCCCCAATGTAAGAGCAGCACAGCCAGAGAAGCCGAAGTATCTGCCACAAAGAAAAATAGAATGTAAAATGAAGAGGAACTTTTTGTGCAAACTTGACTTGCTCCTTCGCCTTACGCACATGGAAGAACACATAGACGGTATGCGACATAGACGGTATGGACACTGGCGAATGCAAAGGTGCAGCATCCATCTCAACCAATCACCGAATCCTCAACTTCCACAGTTGGCGATCCACTCCTCGACTGGCGAAATCGCTGGCCGCTTAGGAAATTGTTGTTTTCGACAATGTTTTCTTAGATGGCAGCACATTATTTAGTGTTTTCTGTTAGCATGATATAGTTTCGTTTAGATGAACATAGCTGTCAGTATCGGAGTTCACAAGCATGCGTGTGTGGGCATGTGCTTTCTGAACGGCTAAGAGGGCACGTTCCCAACTTTTTCGAAACATGGGGAAGCGCAAAAACCTATCCATCAATGCCCAACCAATGCGTCTAAATGCTGCCGAATGGGCTAATGTTCCTTGTCATATCCTGCCAAATGAAGTAAAGACAAATCCCTCAGGACTGTGCTAAGTTTGCAAGGCACACTGCAAAAACTCCGAGAGCCGATGGGAGTGCTAAAGATGCGAAGTTGCTCTTCCCATGCTTGTGTGCTTCAGAGTTTTTCACACATGAAAATCCCACAACAACAGTCGATGCAGTGAAGCATTGCGAACACAAGAACACAATATTTGTTATTCAATGATGTTTATTGCAGATCTTATTGTGACTTATATGCTCTGACTCATGCCAACCCCAGGCGCGCGAATTTTCCCGCAGAACACCATGCAGGAATGACCACGGAGAGCGCAGAAGCCAGCAGGTTATTAAAGGCTAACTAGAATGAAATCTGACTTCCACAGAATCCGCTCAGAATGAGTTATAGTATATGTTGGGTAAGTGTTAATAACAGCCGTGAAAGATCTTGTAGTCATGCATTTCATTTATAATTGATGTACTAATGTCAGCTCACAGACGACTCGGAGCTTTAGCAGTGAGCTCGGGCAAATCAAACAAAGACAGAAATGAAGCAAATCCCAGCTCACCACTACTAGAAAACAGCACGGCCATAGGCTGCTCGAACACGTATGTCACAGCCAGAAGAACCAGGTCTGATGCTTTTCAGAAAAATATAAAGCTCCAAAAGTTGCAAGTTGTTGCACTGAAGCAAATGGGATGAAAACTATGAACGAGTGCAGTGCTTTGCTCGGCACACGAGATTACGATATTGTGTAGCACTGGCCCCTCTTTGCCCACATGCTGTTGAATATGAAAATAATGTTGAATCCTGATGCAGTGCTTTTAATATTCGTTGCGCTGGCTTTTTTGTCGAGGGGCCATACTGCTGCAGTTGGCCTTCAACGAAGGTCCTTATTTTCTCGTGGCATAGTAACAGGGCATTTCAATAATGAACTAACTCAAAATATTACTTCCATAAAATTCTCTGTAAACTTCACTGTGTAACCAAAATTAGCGGTGGTGACTGGGAAGGGGCCCTTTTGTAGGACTCACTTAAACCATGCGTAGTGCTAAAGCGTCATGAAGGAAGAAATATTTAGGAGGTGAAACTGCCCCTAGAATGGACGTTTGCGAGCATCCAGGTAATGTCACATAAAATACAAAAACAGCATGCTCCGACAGAGATGTTCCAGTTGGCGGCACCTTGCTGCAACCACAAAAATAGAAACGAAAACACTACCAGCTGAGGGCACAACTGACCGTGCTACGCATCCCCACTCTGTGACCGTGGCGCAACACGTGCGACCGGTACACTCTGAAACTAAAACGCCAGCAATTTGCTTTTATTCAGCGAGACATTGCGAGCATGAAATGGCTCTCTGGCAACATGACATTATCTGGTCACCTCGAGGAGCGGAGTTGCACCTCCTAAATGTTTCCACCTCCGTGTCATGTGTGCGCACTTTTACCATCTAAAAAAATAGCCTCTGCTGACATATACTTTCTAAAGCGTAGAATGCCCTCGAAAACAGTCAGGATAGAAGTAGGCACAAAGGAGCCACTCACAAAGGGCAATGAATGTGGAGAACGCCACCACAGTGATTGTGCTGCCACTGGTGAGCACTGCGTAGAAGGCATACAGGCAGGGCACTGCAACCAGCAAGCTCCAGAAGCAGAGAACCAACAGAGGCCAGATTCGCACTGGCAACTCCCTCACGGTGCCAGGGAACTTGCCCGTCTTGAGGTACTCATCCATCTCGTTGTCCTGTGTTAAACAAAACAGAGTCACGCAGAGCAACATAATAAACAAAACTTCTCTTCATACAGAACTACACGTTCAAGATATTCAGCAACAGAAAGCCCGTGAGGACCAGCAGACTTGATTTGTTTTGAAACTGACAGCATAACAATGTGAAAGCTCAATCATGTTCCCTCCTGCGGCCAGCCCAAGAAATCCAGAAACTTTTTGAAGAGTACAGCGACTGTACGAGCCGTATGTGAAATGTTAGTTAATGGTATGGCTTAATTAAATGACTACCATCAACCAAGTGAAATTTATACAGGCCCAAAGATGGAAAAGTATACAGACCTCGAAGACAAACTTACGGATATTTTTAAGCAAATCTATGCAAACCTAGCCTGTCGGGGCTAATGCCCTTTAAAGTAGCACATAACCAAGGTAAACCCAAACACGATCTCAAAGTCAGAAAACCTGATCATAAAAAAAGAACTGCCAGAACAATAAATATCCCTTTCAATGAGGGCAAATTGTACTTGTTTCAGCAGAATCGCGAGTTGGGCGAGTTGGTGGATGTTCATCGTGGATGTTCTCTGTCCGTATCTAACCCGTTGCGCTGTAAAATATTCCACGATGTACTTGCTTCAACAGATGGGCCACTAAAGGTTCTCACTCATCTTGAGGGGTGCAAAGACTGGTCAATCAATGATTTAAACTTAAGCTCTGATCTATGGACTCACTTGCCACCGCCCATGCCTCAATGCTAAAAACCGTCAGACCCGAGAGCGATGCAGTTTGGCGCAATTTAGATCGATTCTATGAGGATGGTGCAGTAAACACAGTTTGGCACAGTTGGCCCACAACTAGAACCGCTGCATTTGTCAGCACCTGGAATGGCCCCACGACTATTGAATATTTTCAAAGTCCAAGTTTCTGGATGCATACAATCTGCTGAATCAGCTTTACATCTTGTCTTCCTCGAGAGGGCATTTATTTCTCAACCAGAAAAAATTTGAACAAAGCCTTCCTAGAAAGTGTTTGCCATATAGATTTGTTTTGTACATTCGTACGATGTGTTTGCACAGGTCAGATATTCAAACATTCTGCAAGCAGGGCGTTTAGCCCAATCAGTAAGACACTCACTCTAGCAGCATGCGGCCGTAGGTTGGAAGACTAGGCGAACAAAGAAAATTAATTTATTTGACAGATTTTGTCACAGAGTGACAAGAATGAGAAAAAATCTAAAATACACAAGCTAAGGCCTTCCACGTAAAAACACATTTCCTAAATAAAAATATCAGTGCATAGTAAGGGCGGTGTAGCGTTAGTTGTGCGCCTTCGTCGCTTTTTTTTTCTTTTGTTCTCATCGCGCTGTAAGAAAATGAACACCCACCAACTCAAGCTCACTTCACTGCACTTTTTATTTCATGCACCTATTTCTTTGAAGTGATTTGTATTACAGACCAAGCAAAAAGACAGAGTTTTCCTGTGTCTGCACAGATATGCTTACACGTTTCAATATTCCACAGTCACATTCACTCAGTCATGCAAATTAACTATTCATCGCAAGAGGTGCTTTTGACATACCTTTTCCACGTAAAGATCGTAAAGAAACTTCGTGCATTCTTCATCAGAGTCCGTTGGCACATTGTCAAGTGGTACCCTCCGGAATAAGAGATCAGCCACGAATGGGCGACCATTGAGGACAGACTTGATCGTGGGTGGATTCGGGGAGTGACGGAAGCCCACCTGCACGTCATACAGGGCCGAACAACCTGCGATTGCAAATTGTTATTTGTAGTTGATGTTTACAGAAAAAAAATTATCTTTTTGGGCAAAACATCAGCGCTAAACCAACACAAGACAAGACGAAATCAAGGGAAGCGCTCATCTTGTGTCTCGTGTTTGCTTAGTGTGCTATGGTATCTAAAGAACTACAAACACAGCCAGACTTGCTTCATTCTAAAATGATGATGGAATATCCAAGATGGTTAGCCAGTCAGATGCTGCACTGAAGGAAAGAACAGGTTGCTAAACAAGCTTTGCTGCAGAAGCGCTCCTTGCACGTGGCTTGATACATAAAGAATAGACGAAGATGCCGTGTTTGAAGTGTTTTTTTTTTTTTTTTTAAGAAATCATCATAAACAGTTTAGAACGGCCTCGTTTAGGATTAATGTAATCGCAACTACTGGCGAGGCCACATTTACCAATCCAACATACACATGAAACCACTTATAATTATACCGGTTCTAACCATATATTAGTTATAAGTAGGAGAAATGGCTACACTACCAACTTGTGTATGTTTTTTATGGTGATATAATTCGCTCACAGCAATGTCTGCACACCGCATTGTCGATTATAGCAATGAATTCTGGCTGTTGAGTGTGCATGCCAAGTGGTAATAAAACGTGGTATCCTTGAAGAAAAAGATGAATACGAGAAATTCAAGCTGCTGAATTTTCACCCACAACTTCTACGTCCCCCAACGCCCCTTCAAACTCACGGTAAGCTTCACCGCACAGTGTTGCGGCACTGCGGCCAAGCTAACTTTTGAAACTGCAGTGGCTGCTTTTAATGCATTTATGGACATACGTTTTGAGTAAAAAGTTCAGACTTAGAACTGTTTCAGCATACTGAAAGTTCAACCCTGGTCATACAATAACTTCATGGAGCTTAGAAAAGCCTCGTGGAACCATCTAACTTTCAAGCATGTCCGAAAAATCAGCACCTTTGTCATCTTTCTCACTGCTGTCTGTCAGTGTATCTCATCCAATATCATGATTTTCTCACAATAGCCTGCCATCCCCCTTTAACACGATAATGTTGATGAGCTTGTTTCACAGAGATTACGGCGTCAGCGATGTTAGTTATGAGCAAAAAATCCCCATTTTGTCCGTGACCGAAAATTGAGGTAGATGAAAAAATAAATAAATAATAAAGATTTCCCAGTCTGAGAGAGGATCGAACTCAGGCCGTTTGCATGGCAGGCAGGTGGTCTGAAAAACAGACACGGGTTTGGCCAAATTCTGTGGCACATACCTGTCCACGATGATCATAGTTTTCGGGCACCATCACGCACTTTACGTTTGACAAGAACAGCTTCACTGTTAAAATGACGAAGCAACACGCCCAGTAGGTGCCCCCAAAAGCACAAAAGCAGTGAAGTAGCAGGGCGGCCTGGCATCAAAGAATCCGCAATGGATACCAGAACAGCTTCACTCAGCCTATGACAAAGATGAGTAATGTGACCTCACTGCCTTTCTTTGGAGTCAAGAAGTCACAAACAAATAATGCATGTTTCTGCTGTAGATCCTCAGGTGACATTTGTGTTTTAACACAATAGATTCTAAGAGCTTGTTTCATAGGAATTCTGGTGTCGGCGTCGGCTGCAGGACAGATCAGCATTGTCCGTGAGCAAAAATTCTAGATAAATAAATAAATAAAAATTTTTTGGTCCAAATGAGAGTTACATTTAGGTCTTCTGCGTGGCAAGCAGGCATTCTGCCACAGAGCGGCACCATTGCTAGACACTGCATAGTAAAAAAAGGCTATGAAAATTCCATGCAGTGGAAGGTGTAACATTGCCTGGCAGAATCATAGAATCACACCAGGCATCATAACACGTGAACTGTGCAATGAGTAATCGGTTTATAGCAGTGCACCCATTAAAAAGCGTGTTGCTGCTGGGAACGCATCCCACCTTGCAGACGCGTAGTGGGTCGCTCACCAATTTGCAAGAGCAAAACATTGCCTGGCAGAATCATAGAATCACACCAGGCATCATAACACGTGAACTGTGCAATGAGTAATCGGTTTAAAGCAGTGCACCCATTAAAAAGCGTGTTGCTGCTGGGAACGCATCCCACCTTGCAGACGCGTAGTGGGTCGCTCACCAATTTGCAAGAGCAAGAATCATGACGCAGAGAACACTTCGAACATTTGCCAACAGTTGGCATTCTAGGATAGTTTGAAACAACCAATGTATCACACTTAAAACATTCCTTTCCTTCTGGCACCATTGAAGACAATGTGCACGAAGCACAACTATATTATCGTTTTCAACTCGAAGAGGAGAAGCTCGATCGAACATCCTCCAATTTTTTAATTTTTGTTTTTCATGTGAGCAGATTGAAGTTGCCCATAGCGCCAGAATCAAGTAAGCACGGCATCAATGCTCTAATGCTTGCAGCTTACTTCCACCTTTTGTTTCGTCCCGTGAACCTTCATTTGTGTTGCATGCTACATAATGCACAACACTCGAGGGGGAAAAAAAGCAAATAAGGAATAGAGACAAACCTCTCTCCTTGAAGTGACGAGTGCAGTACACGAAGCCTTTAGGTCTTGGAAGCAAGTGGTGCTTCAGCTTGGGCAGGTTTCTCTTGGCCGCAAACTCCAGGCTCAGCTCGTGCTTTGCCTTGCTAAACCGCGTCCCTTCCGAGAACATCAATAGCTGGCGGGAGAGACAAGAGGAATGAGCGTATAAGTAAGCAGCACAAATTAATGCATGCAGCTGAATCTCGGGATACTTATCGGGTAACAAGTGCCACACTCTTCTTCACTTCACTAGGCATCTACGTTTCCATAAATTTGCACAAAGCCCCAGCGGAAGCCCCAACGAAGTATGAGATGCAAGGCCACCGGCTGTGCCCCGGCCATCGCAGTTTTGCCCCCTTTCATTGCCTAAAACATGCAAACATGCAGCCATGTGACCAAGTTGTTGCAAGAAAGCTGGTTCTCGGAATCAGAAACTTTACACGACTGTGCATGAAGTGAGCAGTAGCATTTTTTGTCCTATCTGCGCGTCATCTATCATTCGACAAGCCAGCAGTACTTTGGAAGGTTGCTGTGATGATTGATTACATACAATATGACTAGTCGTTTCCGCACTCTTTCATGCATCAAGCAAAGTCTTCATTTGAAAATATCTTTCCGTAGCTGTGTATTCTCAGACACTCTGATCTTGTTTGACAAATTCACAGCTTAAGATGGGAATGTGAAGAACATGTTTTAAAATAGCCTTGCACCACAGTAATGGGGATTATCATTTTTCCTACTGGGAAACCTCTGGAGCTAGTGAAATTTCAATGTAGCTTGGGATTACATGAAACCATTTCTTACTTTAAAATATCATTGTACCAAAAACAAAAGAAAGCCATTAAAAACTACAAGATAGTTCTTTTAGAAGAGACCAATTTTATCAGCCTAGAGTTTCATATAAAGTATCAGATTTTAGTGTGGTTTGCCACAAAATATCCAGGAAAGACAAAAATTCAATAACCCGTTGTGGTTCTTCATGTGCAACACCCAATGAAACCAATAAATAAGAAGTGACGAAAACCATGAAGTGCTATACAAGAAGGGACATCTAGTTTGGTGCGGAGTTCAGATCCGCCACAGTCGGCAAAATTCAAGATGCCAGGTTCACCTCGTTACACTGGCACAAAATAGACAAACACTTTATACTCGCATGCACGTGTTTCACACCATCCCTCTTGTACAAAACTTTGCGGAATGTTGTGGTTTTGTGCCATTCTTACTTATTCTGTTTCTTCTACATCACGCAGCGAAAAATGGCATGAGCCATTAAATTTTCATACTTCCTGAATATTCTGCCGCAAACCACATTAAGTCAGATAACTTCGAGCAAAATTACCACACAATGAAATAAATCAGTTCTAAAGATATCACCCTGTACATTTTACATAAAGAATGCATATGCTACAAACTTGTTTGTTGGTGGTAAGTACAAGAATGCACGTTAATGCGAAACCATCAGCGCATAGTAAACGCAGAAGCACAATGAGATCTGATCACAGTGATGCAGTGCGCCATGCTTTGTACAAAGTAATTGACAGTGAGATAACATGCCACAGGGCCGTGTAGCAATGTGCAAAGAGACAGCAATTTTCAAATGTGTGCCAACTTCTCCACGTTATCTATGCAGCGGTGCTTTTCAGACAACGCAGATTGAACCAACTAATGTCACATCCCTGTCATGCTGAAGCTAATTGATAACACCTGTGGCTGTCGTTACAGTGTTTTGTCCCTAATTCAAGCAATCACCTCTCTAGGATATACACACGATACACCACTTCACACGTTGTAGCCAAGCGCCATCTCAGCCTCGAAATATCCTTTTGCGTATTTGTTAACTCGTTGATGAAGGTTAGACTTCAGGTGGCACTTCAGGCAAGCCCACTTTTCACTGCTGATTTTTCTTCTCAATTCTCCAAGAATGTTACAATAATTACACATTTCTAAGTTGGGGAAGTGGGTTTTCAGAAAATTCATTAGCGCAACATTCACAAGTAACAAGATTTGACTACAACTTGCTTCTGCACCATAGAAAAACTTGGCGTGAATTTCAGCACCTTATGCAGTTTTCTATCTAACGCAGACATCACAAAATATTTCTTTCTTTCAAAAACTCAGCTAATCAATGTCATGTTCAATGTATGAAGCGGAGACATGCAATGGCATCTTTAAGGTAAACAATTCCTTGTTGCAGTTCTTTTCCATACGCAGGTGCAAATGAACGTAACACTGCACTTCGTTCTAACTCTCCCTACAAAAACTTCCATGGCAATGTTGCCCAGTACTGCTTTTTAAGAGCCCTGAACAACCATGCCTGTCTAACCAAACCACAAAGCACGCAATCCAATATGACATCTTCCAAGGTACACCGTCATTCTGTTTATATACAAAGAAGGGCACATCATAGCAATCCTTCTTCGGTGTGCAGCATGCCCCTTCGCTCAGTGCCGCCCCGACTAACCAGGATCTTGTCCTTGTAGTCCAGCAGTTTGTCCAGCTTCCCGCCGATGGTCAGAGAGTCCTTCTCCCAGCTTCGCTCGAGAAAAATCTGCTCTGACAAGGCCCAGTTCCAGCCAATGACGGGAACGTACATCAATGACTTTTTCGCAAAGGTCTTTGCATTCTGCGAACGAGAGAAAACGAAAATGACCAATGGCTTTATCTCCCATTAAATCACCATGTACTGGCGAGCATTGCCACCAATAATTTTCTAAGCTGGCACAATCATTCATATGCACAGATTTCTCTAGAAGCAAGAATTTGCATCATCCACATAATTTCAGAGTCGGCGATTGTCACAAAACGAGCGCTCAAAAAAGGGCGCACCCCCAAATTCTCGCGACGAAGCGCCGGAGAGACGCCTCGAGGTCAACGATAAAAAAATAAAACAAACATCCAAAGACTCCCCGGGCGCGCGTCCCTCTCCCTCGGAAGCGTAGGTTCGCCGACGAACCTCCTCACATCGGCGGCCGAGCAAGCCCTGGAAAGTTCTCGGTGGAAAGAGGTGTGGTGATGCAGGGTTGCGTCATCTGTCGCAGACAGCCCTCGAACCGTCTCGCGCTTTCCCCAAGCCTTCGCTGCGTATCACGCCGATAGAATGATGAGAATTTTCTGGAATCTCGCGCGGAAGGTATCTAACCGAGCAGCAGAGATGGGAGATCAGGATAAGAAGGTATTTCGCGCCAGAGTGCGTAGGGTGTTCGCCGTGTCGCCGGCGAAGGTTTTGTCCTCAGTGACAAAGCAGGAGAAGAAGGAATATTGCGCCAGAGTGCGTAGGGTGTTCCGCCGTGTCGTCGGTGAAGGTTTTGTCCTCAGTGACAAAGCAGGAGAAGAAGGAATATTGCGCCAGAGTGCGTAGGGTGTTCCGTCTTGTCGGCAAAGCATTTTGTCCTCAGTGACAAAGGAGGAGAAGAAGAGGATTTCCACCTGAGGGGTGAAGACTCGAGCTACAGGCAAGAGTGTGTGTCTACCGCCAGCGAGCGGAGATGCGTGGCAACAGCTGCGTGTGGGAAGCCGACGTGTTACCGGCGAAGAAGTTTGGAGCCTGGAGAGCGGTCAATTGAAGACGCGAGGTTTCCTGGAAGAGAAACTTCGGGGGCAGCGGAACGACAACAATGCCGGTCCTTGAGTGAGTGATTCTCGGAAGAGTATCATTCAGACTTTTGTTCCAAGAACTTTGGACTGAATAAGTTTTCTAACTCTTTAGTCTTTAAGTGTCTTGGTTGTTCGATGCATGCGACTGCATTGTAGTGCGTATTGTTGTCTGTGTCCATTGTTTCGAGCGTGGCTGATTGTACTGTGTAGTACGTTGTTTGATTGGTGACATATTGTATTCAACTACTGTCGAGTGTGCATACTTCTGTATCGATTTGATCTGCCGTAATTGAGAATATAATTTTTATTTTGTTTATCAACTCTCGGCTCTGACTTGTTCTTTGGGCCACAGCCGGCGTCCGCTGGCACGCCAAATAGGACCACTTCTAAATTGTCCACGCTTTCGTGGTGCAGTTCGGGGGGGGGCCGATATTTCGGTCCTTGGAATTAGCCCGGCGATAGCCTCCCTAATTAACGGGACCCGTGACAGCGATAGAATAGCATTTGGTAGAGTTCATGCTGAAAACTGTCGGCTGATTCAACTGACTGCCAATACATGCATGAAAGCATAACGTACGATTATCTTTATTAATATTTGGATGACTATTTGAATTTTCACATCAGTCATTTGTCATAGAACGCATTTTCTCACATATAACATGCCTCTGCATGTAACCCCTACCCACCACTCTTCCTCTAGAAAAAAAAAAACAAAAAAAACCTGTACATACCCCCTAATAAACATGCATCCCATCTTTTTAACATATTTTCTTGTTTTTATATGCGGGTTATATGTGTAAAAATATGATTAGAATTTTCTCTTTTTTCATGCCAGCACATTTTTAAAGAGCTACCAATTTACTGGATAAAATTCATATGACTATCGTGACAACACTGTCACGAAACGAAACTCAACAAAAATCTGCAAGCCCTATTCATCAGCTGCTAAAGCCATAAAGCGCAATGATGAGCAATGAAAGGGCGATGAAATAGCAATATTGAGGAAACACACTGTTAGGCCATTTGCACAAAGTTGTCCTTTACATACAGGATTCACTTGACCAACTGTCTGATGAGAGAAAACCAGCAATTCAAAAGGACACTGTGAAAGCTTCCATAAGCAATGTTCACCTCGATATTTAGAGATGAAAGTGTGGGCAAGAGGTATCCTGCACCAACACAACAAGTAAAAAACAAAATCCTTCTTACGTAGTGAACTATGACTACAACCCTGGGATATCTTGAAAAAGAACAAAAGAAAAAAAGACAGGACTTACTGCGAGCATCTTAAACTGGTCACAGATCATCCAGCAGACCAGCCAGTCGACTTCGTAACAGTGATTCATGACGCACATGTGGTGATCCTTGAGGAGGGCGTCCATGTCTTCGTCTGTGCCCCACACCTTGATGCGGCTCCCCGACCACCACTGAGCCAATGCCACCACCTCTGTCAATTGACAACAAAAAAATTAAGTAGCACTAAGCGCTCAATAATCTGTTCTACTCATTGATTTGCAGCGTTTGCACCTTGACGAAAGCACTAGAGCTATATATTCTGGTCATGCGGATCTTGATCAGCACGAGAATGTCACATCAACGACGCCACCACAGCAGGCTTATTGAATCCACCGAGCAAACAGCATGAGCTACAGAAAAATGAAATAACAACATGAGCATCTCTGCTGTCTTCATAGTCCTTTGTGCCTTCCCCACTGCTTAACTATAAAGTCTTACCCAAGGTAGTAAGTCAACAAAGTTATTGATTTAATGGAAACGTGACACTGGTACACTAACCCCCGTATTCACAAACGCTCCTCGACTCGACCCTTCACTCCAAAAGCTCCTTGAGTGGCGTTTTCCCATTCACAAACCGCCCTTCACTTTAAACGCTTCCTTCACTTGAGAAAATCTCAAGCGTTTTCTCGAGATTGTCAAGGAAGCGATCGAGCTACCTTGGATCGTCACTCGAGTAAAGTTTCTGTGCCAACATCGCGTCCATGGCGGAGCCCGTCTCGCTTTGACAGTGTTTATCGATCAATTTGGCTGCCACTGCCGCGTTCTTTCAATAGTGACGGTGCACGTTCACTAATGAGCTGTCTTGTAACGGTTCGACAACGGCTACTGTGGCGCCGGGACAGGCGGGCGTGGTGTCAAGCAAAGCGCTCACCAGTGCCGTGATGTGTTGTGTTTCATGCATGAGCCAGTGAATTACCTGCCTTCGGGCGTGCGTATACTTGTCGTGCGAGTGCTCCAAGACTTACCGCGGATGCCAGTGCTTTCAAAAGGTTTCGATGAAGCTTGCACACCACACCATTTCAAGCGTGGTGCGAAAGCTTAACAAACAAGCTGAGAGGAAACGTAATAGCAAACTTTCGATGCGCTGCATTCACCATACTCCTAAGCGGCTTCCTCTCCGGTGAATTTTTGCTACCCTAGCCGAAATATACGGCGAAGCACACTTTCGTTAGATGATCGTCTGTATCTAAGAGAAGGTAAGTTCTCCTTTTTCATGTTTTTTTTGTTCATTTTCCCAATGCTCAGGTTACGAAGAACAGTTTAGGAAGAACAAAACACAATGCGCAGTTTAGGAAGAACAAAACACAATGTAATTGGGCCCAATAAGTGTGCTGTTGTTGCTACTACGCGTGAAACATAGCTTCAGTATACAGTGTCTATGCAGCTCACAATACCAATGAACAACTACACCCAGCATTATGGAATCAAGCAGAGGCTCGTGCTCTGTAATGCATGGAGTGTCATATAAAAACGAAAACATGCGAAATAGAAATACCGCAGACACATTATAAGATTGTTTTTTTATGGTTGAACCCCCCCCCCCCCCCCCCCCGAAGAGATATTGATGGCTATGCCATTGATTCGTGCAATTAGGTTATCGAACTACATAACCATAATGCCTGGTGAGCTGCCCAAGTGCTTGAGCCAAACATGTGTCAAAGTAGGCAAAGCTCAGTAACTCAACCATGTCGGTTCTTTAACGCAAGAAATATAATGAATGAGTGTATCCCGAGAAATTTTTAAAAATGCGGCTTTGGTGTTCCAGCTATTGCGTTTTTCTAATATTATGTCTTGCCTTTTTTGTGCAGAGGCCAGGCTGCCGACGGAAGAACACAGAGGAAAGGTTTCCTAAAACGTGCCATATTCGCAATGCATTGCAGAGTTTGCACGACTGTATACAAAAGGACGAAATCTGCACTGAATGCGTGCAGCTGCCCTGCATGAGACATGCTATGATGTCTACTACCTCGATCTTATTTATGATGTCTTACAATCTCAAAATTTATTTCGACAGTGTGTCAGCTGCATATGCTTGATTAACGCACACTTTGCAGTTGCACGCTTGTGTTTGCCACATGGTTCTTCATCAGCCAAATGTAATAAAGGTTTATTTTGCTATTCATAACTTCTACTTTGTTTATTTTACCATACATAATTATCGTCATGTTCATCTTCTCAGGATGAAACAGAATCACAAAAACCTCTTCTCTGATTCTACAGGAGAGCAGTTCTACAAAAACCAAGCTTGTTTTATATACACCACCACCACTCCCCTACCATGAAACTGAGATGGCGTGGTTCCAGTGTGTAGACATGCTAATGTTGCAACAATAGTGGATATTTTATTTACAGGGGTTTGACCAGATATATCCGCGATGTCTCCAACACTCTTGAGCATTTTTTTACCACTTTGTTGCACTGGTCTTCCTTAAATCAGCAGAGTAAAATACTCTGCTTCTTGACGACACTTTCTCCAAGGTTCAGTGAACCACCACGGTTGTTTTCAAGACAGAACAGCGCCAAAAGTCAAAAGCGCCTTCAATTTTATCATTTCCAAAAGAATAAAACATCTCCTATAAATTATGTACTGCCAAGGCTTTAGAATGAAGCACAGAAAACACGATCATTTTCAAAAGGTATTCCCGACAATCATATTCCACAAATAAAAGCCGACATAAGTGCAAAGGTCACTCCTGCATTAACGAATGTGCTTCTGAGCTTGCAGATAAAGGAGCCGGGACAAAAGTTTCAAGATGGGGCCGCTGTGTGAACTTGGAGACGGAAGCTATAGAGATTTAAAGGTTACGTCTATTCGAATCTGTCATATTAGGGCATGAACAAATGCAGGGCGAAAAGAAGATGGAAAAAATAACTGCTTACTCAGGCATCCTTGGAAGAATGAAATGTTAAAATTGAAACACAGAAACACAAACACGCATTGTTAACAGACTATATATACTGCTAATTGAAGAAAACAACAACTTTAAAATGATGTTTTCGCCATTAGTTGAAGAAAGGCACATGATCGCTTCCCTTAATTTGCATAGCAGTCTAATTCAAACGCTCAGCCACGAGTGTACCATGCCTACTTTTTAACGCTATCCTGCGTCTCTCATAATCAAATGGTGGTTATGGGACATTATCCCACATATCAATCAAATCAACGCTACTCTGGTGTAACCTTGAATAGTTTCAAGCATTGTCTTTCAAAATTTCTATTACATGCAGAGGAACAACTACGAAAGTGCCACGTTGAAATTCGCAGTAAATGAGAAAAATGAACATAGCACAGTCCACTGAAATCAGGAACTGTTCACGTACTCCCGCAGCGAAAACGAATTCACGCACAAGTAATCTTTGTCAGAGGGGAATTCTGAAAGCACACCAATATATTGTGATATAAAGTAGAAATTACTCACTCCACCGTGTTACACGTTTGGTGGCTACACTAGTGAGCAGAAGGCTCTCAGCAAAACAAAAGTAAACAAAGCAACAAACCATATGTTCTGCTTTTGCCATCACTCACGTAGTTCGTTAGTCACCCCGGCAAAAGCAGGGTCTCAAACACCCACTCAAACACTACCGTAAATATAAACTGCAATTAATAGACGCACAGGAGACGAAATAAACTAAGCACGTAGAAACATTCAGCAGCAGATAAAACGCCATCAGCTGCTGCCTGGGCACAACTGTTGCCAGACTAGAAGCGGGGGTTTCGGTAACTCTACCGGCTCAAGGCTTAGGGAAACCATGTACCACTCTAAATGCATGTATTTTGCTGTAATGTCAATTTATAAAAAAGAATGAGTAAGTAAAGTGTTCATTTATTATACAAAGATAGGCATTTCTTAACCACAATTGCGAATACTCTCGTTATCAGGTGCTTTTCTCGGCCCATGCAGTTCATTCAAGTGGAGGGAGCATTTCCGAGGCCTCCCTTGGCGAAGGAAGTGTGGAGGAGCATTCCTGAAATGCAGCGGCTCCTTGAGTGGAAGAGCAAGCACGCTCCGACTTGACTTCGTCTAGTCGAGGGGAGCCCTTGAGTGAAGGAGCGTTTGTGAATACGGGCCTAAATGAACGAAAGATGGGGGGGTTGATCAAGGACCTGTTTCTTTGTTAGACACAACCTAATGAGACCAACAGAAAAGAGACCTTTCTTAGCTTGATTGTTAGTAGGTTTCATTAGGTTCTGGTACACTTAAAAACTTGAAGCAATGCTCGTAGGTGAGCACTAATGAAAAGAAACTATGTCATAATATGGCATGAAGAACAACAAATGGCCCACGTAACTAGAATGTCGAGAAAAAAAATGATTCGTAAACAACAGGAATAACAAGAACGGCATGCCATGTGGTCTATATACAAACTTTGTCTTGTTTGTTTCACCTAACCACTATGCTTACCGTAGCCGTATTGAACAAGTTGGCTCCGAGAGTCCACACTCTTAAAACAAGGGACAAAACACAACAGAGATACACGAAGCACCAACTTTCAACTGACGTAATTAGACCACAACAAAGAAAGCTTGAAAATGATTAAAAAGACCCCACTCTCCTTATCTCTTCCATTACTTTCCTCAACTTATGTGGCCCCACCGCAGTGGTCTAGTGGCTAAGGTACCTGACGTGCGGGCTGCTGACCCGCACGTCAGGGTATCGAATCCCGGCTGCTGCGGCTGCATTTTCGATGGAGGCGAAAATGCTGTAGGCCCAAGTGCTGAGATTCGGGTGCACGTAAAGGAACCCCAAGTGGTCAAAATTTCCAAGGCCCTCTACTGCGGCGTCTCTCATAATTATAGGGTGGTTTTGAGACGTTAAACCCGATATATCAATCAATCTCATTTTATGCAACATTGTCAGATAATCATGATTAAACAGCTAGCTAAAATTACCGCACTAGAAAATTCACTCACGTGACCAGGAGGCATAGATGAGGTAGTAGTTGATGCGGCGGTACCAGTGCCGCGAGACGGGCCGCACCAGGCAGTAGACGACCAGCTGGAATGCGTTGAGCACAAGCCCACTCGACAGGAACACCAGTGTGAAGAAGGTGTGGCACAGGAGATTCGTCTTCACAGCAGCCCAGAGTCGTTGCCCCATCGTGGATTCCTCCTTCTCCTTCCTGCAGCGGTGAAAAAGGTACGCTGAACTTCTATCCGAGGTTCACGTTAGAAAATTCCTAGAGCTTACCAAGTCCTTAACACCTGTGCCATACCGGACCCAAAATAATGACATCTAACTGTCTAATGCTTTATTTTGCACATTCTCGCATGACTCTACTTATAGGGGTCCTGCAACACTTTTCCAACATGTCGGGAAGCACTGCCAGTCGGTAGTAGAGGCTCGTGCAAGCCAAATATGGTGCACTAAACATGGCAGCAAAAAATCACAATTACGCGTGAAAGACAAGTCACACACTGTTCTCTTAGAAGATAACATCTTCGACAAGGTTGACTATGTCAGTGAAGAAAAGAATACAACCACTGACCAATTTGATGCGCACCCAAAGTCATGACGTTCTGGCATAGGTTTTGGCCCTTTACCACCACCCTTATAGCTTCTAACGTGCTTGTTGGAACTAAGGATAAGAGAAACCACTTAAGTTGCGCAACAAATTCCTATGACAGTGCTTTTACTTATAGGATTAAAAAAATTGCACCAACAATTACGATACTGTGCAATGCGAATTTTGAGCATAGTTCATTGTTCAAAAAGAACTGGCTCAGACTATTTTGTATACAAGTACACGATTTACATTAAGAATTAAATGCCGGGAGTATCATTACTGGCACATACGACTTTATGCAGTCTAGTTCACACCAAACGCTACAGACGGAGCGTAGTGCGACTGCCTCGGTAACTGGGAGACCACGGAAGGCAGGGCATGGGCTGCATTAAGCAACGGCCAACGCAAAACAATGCGCGCTACTGTGGCCACAGGTGCCCGTTTTGGAACCCGTTGTCTTGCCTCTGTCATTCACTCTTCCTCCCGCTCTACAGGGCCCCGTGTTCATTCTCTGTCATCCTCATTCGCTCTGCCTGTTATGACAATACCGGGACGGCTCAACACAGGAATGGGCGCCTAACAGCTGGGCTGTAAATAAAGCTTTTTGCAGCAATTCATTCGTAATACAATAAACTCCGATAGCTAGTGATTGACAATTGCTTGGAGTGCTGCACGGCTACTTTTATGAGCATTTTGCAGCCATTCAAGTTAATGGCACTGACAACTTAGCACCTGTTTGTACATTTGGCGTCCAGACATGTACTCTCCACCTCAAACTAGCAGCTACAGCAGTACAAGATAAACATGCTTCTGAGCAACCTCGCATGATTCTACACAATATCAGTGTCAACATTTTTACGGTAAGGCATCTGGATGGTCTGGAATAAGACTTCACTATAGTATTGAGAGTGGCAAACAAGCTTAGGGAATCCGTTGCAGCGATCATCACAGCAATCCTCATTGTTACAAGAAAAATGTATGAAGAAACAATTTTATAAACGAAGCGATTCATTTAATAATCTCAAATCACTATACAATGAGACCACTTTTTCATTTGACAAGCCCATTTCTTCCTGAATAGCCCTCCAATTTACCTTACTGCATGTCGTCGACAAAGTCTTTGTTGTTTTCCCTTCGAGACAAAGAGAGTTCTAGACACACTATCGTTATCATTTAAGCTGCATCAAGATTTGCCACAGCATTTTCAGCCACATTCCAGTGTTTTAATGATGCCACTTTGAAATGTATCACGTCTCAAAATAAGTCATTATAATAGCTTTGATTTTTTTTAATAACACATAAAGAAAAGAATGTGTAAAAAGCAACCTCATTACGGGACTTGTCATATTTACTAACTGTAGCTATCAAATACGGTCGAACCACTCTTGGTTACTTATAGTTGATCCATTCATTTGCCATTAGTACAGCACGTGCAAGAGTTATAAAACTGTCGGAGACATTAGTAGGACTGTGTGAATAGTGAATTTTGCAACCAAATTAACACGAATTGAATAGTGATGGCAGGAAATTGAATACAGCCACTATTAAAATACTATTTAGATAGTTTTCAAATCGTGCAATTGCTTTTTTAATGCAGCCCAAGAAAGGTCATGTAATCATTGTCAAACAGCCAAAGATTTGCCAGAACATTTCAATTCAAACACATTATCAAGAGTCTTAACAAAAGAATATTATGATTGCTTTTAACCAACAAAAAAAGTACCCCAATGATGTAAACTTATGCAAGCTCGTATACAGCAGCAACTAGAGACGTAAGTATTCTGTAAACGTAGGTTGAAACTTAAAAGTGACCACAGCATTCAACCGCCTCAGCACGTTTAGCCCAGTGACAGTTCATACCGTATCAAGAAACAACATCGCAGAAGCAACCTGTGAAACGAGGGATCTAACATCCAGATGCCTGTAGATACCTATCTAAAACTAAACACCAGAAACGTTACAAGTGGGAAATTGTCTAAGTCAGCAAAAAATAATGCAGCGTAGATACCTCAGGTAATCTGTGCCATGAAAGGAAAAGCCATTAAAACGTGATACTACTACCCACCTGTTTGCATCAAATTCAACCATCAACAATAGTATCGGTGGTTGAACCAGAACGTTATTGGTAAAGTTGGAACATATTACAGTTGAATTATGAGAGACATGCACCGGGGAGCAGTTTTGACCCTTGAACGAGTGGTCTATCATTATCTGTTCTGATGTAGGTACACTGGTGTCTATTACATTCAACTGTCTCTTACATCAGTGTGTCTTACAAATGGCTTCAACTGTATAAGTAATAGCCCCATTCTGTCTCGAAAGATGCCTTTGGATGGTTTCAAAGTAAGTGCTATGGCTGCATTGGCATGTTTTTCTTATTTCACCAGCTGACAAGCGCAGCAGAGGATGAATAAGTGGTTAGTCAGGCAGGGCCACCTCGGCGAAAATGTATCCCCGTGGCAGGAAGGTTAAGTGGTTATCTTTGAATGACCCATTTCCATTTTCTTATCAGGTGGTGGATCGCGGACAATCATGGCAGCACGCAACAGTGCATAGATAACAATGGATTCTCGGTGCACAAGAATTGGCAGGGCAGTACTGTATGATATGAGTACTGCAAATGCTCAATAGTCTTTTACTACGCCATCAAATATTTTTCATTAGCAAAGATATCCATTTTCATTGGCAGCTACAAGCAGGCAGCACCACACGAATCGGCAAGTAGCCGTTTCCCGTTCCTTTTCAACATCTCTCACTTGATAGTAAAGAAACAAGCAAAACAAAAAAAAAACACTTTTTTTCCAGCAATTTGATTGATGTTTACAGTGAATTATTTCAGTCATCACTTTCTCATGTTCAGTTTTTTTCTGTCTGGTTGTTTTTTGCAAGTCTGTTGCATTGTATTAAAAGGCAGGTGTTATTTGAGAAATTACAACTCATTCCAAAGGGCTACAACCAATGGCCAAGGGCTATTTTCTTGTTCTTTCTAATTATGCACAAGCGGTGGGCACATCTTATCTTGAGATGGGATACTGTTGAGGTTTTCATTGCATTCTGTGACAGAAGACCGAAGTGGGCAGGGCCTATGAAACATCAACCAGTCGCAGTACACTAGTGGCATAATTTTTTATTCTAGCAGCTTTGATGTACCAGAGTACTTTTTTAAACATTAAAACTCATTTTATAAACAATCACTCAGAAAACAATGTGTAAAGTGTAATTTCAATTGGGAAACAATTTAATTACCAATTTCAGCACAATGTATAAAAAAAACCTAGGGAACTTTTAATTTTATATCTAATACATTAATCAGCCTTTTTGGGCTTCCTAAGACCATGTGCACATTATGTTGCACATTGTCTTCAATCATTGTCAGAATAAATGGAAAGCACTAGTGGAACACATTCAAAGATATGTCAAATATGTGTAAAGCTGTACAAGGATGATTTAATAACATTCTTGCTGCCAGTTTTTGAAAAAATCCGCACCAGTTTCTTCTACATCCCAGTATTGTCACATGACCACCACACTCTGATATAAAAATAAAAAATATGGCCTCAGCATGCCAACCTGCCCCACAATACTGCACTTTCAACTCCCTATTTATGTAAGTAAAAGTAGTTTGTACAATATCGATTACGCTGAGGCAATCGCTTTGTCCAGATACACAAATATGGCACATCTAGCACCAAAAAGTGATGCTTAAAAGAGAAAAAAGAATATCTTCAGCGTTTTAAACATAGCGGTTGGCAATATAGTTGACTAAACTTTGCTTATCAGATGTCTCTATGTCTTTTGAAGTTAAAAAGAGCCCACACCCTTTTCCTTTGAGGGTAACAAAACCAATTTATGAGTTCAATGTTATGAAGCGAAAAGAATAAAGCAGCAGTAACTTACAGAATTGCCAAACTCTCAAAAGGAGACCAGAAGATTCCAGCAAAAAGCTCACTGCACTAATACGACTGAGCAAGCGAAATCAGCAAGGAGCTCTATTTTCAGGTCCCGCAGACAGAAGCTCTTGTAACTGAAGCGGGTGCGATATCAAAATCCTTTCCAAAAATAGTACCAGATAAAATAAGCAGCGCATTGACCTACTCGCACGCGGCACTGCTAAGCTAGAGGGGAAAAGTTTCATTTCTAGCCACGGCTTGTGCACCTCAACAGTGACTAAATGCAAAAACATTCATATACTTAGGTTTGGGTGCGCATCACAGAAGCCCACGTGATGAAAATTAATCCAAAGTCCCCCATCAATGCACACTTCATACATATGTTTGAAAGCTGTCGGTTCAGCCCTGACCGAAAGCCAGTTTTTTTCTCATTCTCATTACAGTAGACTCTCAGTAAATGGAAACCTGTTAGACGGAACTACTGCTTAAATGGAACTATTGCCTCAGCAATGCTTGGTTTCGTGCTTGCATTCTGCACTCATGTTTGTCTGTCAGTAAACAGAACTCCAGTTATATTGAACACATTTTCCCGGTCCCTCCAGGTTCTGTTTACTGAGAGTCTACTGTAATTCCTTTCCATTTATGTCACTGTCAAAAATAAAATTATGGCATACCCATCAGGTGAATCATGATTAGCGGGCACAGCAGTAGAACTGTTCGGTGTTA